TAATTTAAAGTAATACAATATAAATATAAATATTAATTATTGTAATTACAGCTATATATATATATAGAAAATAAATAAAAATAGTTCCACAAGATAAAAAAAATTTTAAAAAAAAATCAAAAAATAATATTATTATTTCTTTTTTAAAAAATTTTTTTAAAAAAAATTAAAAAATAAAAAAAAAAAAATTATTCACATAATTAGAGCCATTCCAAATTAATTTTTTTTATTATTTTTCATTTTTAAATTTTCTTCCAAAAAATTAATAAAAGCATCATATAAATATATATTTATCTCAAGAAAAATCGTACTTCAAGTTTTTTTTTTAAAAAATATCTGGTTTTTTTTTTTTTTTAAAAAAAATTATAATATTTTGGGTAATATTTTGTATATTTTTAATAATGCAGTTTAATATAAGAGAACAACCACAACCACAACAACAGCAATATAGCACAAGCGAACATCAGGATGACAATACAAATTATATAAAAAACCTCAACAACCCATCATCAATGAGGTTTGTTTTAAGAACAACTGATTCAAGTCCATATAAAATAGATCATGACCTTAGTAATGGAAGCAGTGATGGTCGTAATAGTACAGAAAAAGATGATAGACACCCAATATATAATTTAACTAGTATGTCAAAAAATGATAACTATGAAAACAATAGCAATACCAATACTCCAAACAATAATGGTAATAACAATCACAATAATAATAATAGTAATAGTAAAAATATAAAGAAAGACAGTATAAATGATAGAACATCAGATCAAAATGAAATTATAAAATATTTAGATGAAAAATTAGAGCAAATGGAAAAAGAAAATAGCTTTTTTACATCAACAATGGAATACAATTATCATAACAATCAGATAAACTATCAAAATTATAATGGTAACAATAATAGTGATATTAATAATAAAGGTTTAAATTTTAACTCATATTTTAACCGAAATCAAAACAACAATAGCAACAATAATAATAGTGATTTTAATAGTGATCATAATAATGATATTAAGCATTCCTCCTCATCACCATCATATCAAAAAGCACAGGTACAGCGAACAACCCAAAATCAAACAGCACCACCACCAAGAAACCAAAATAACCACCAGAGCACTCAATCACCAGGTATAAACAATTTAAGAAATAATATAAACACAAATAATTTAAATGTAAATAAAATTAATAAAAATAAAATAATTGATAATAATTTAAGTTTTGTAATGGATTCAATTAAATTTGAAATTCAAGAATTAGACAAGTAAGTTCACTGCATCATTACTATTGTATTTGTAAAACTTTGATTGATAGTAAGTACTAATAAAACAACATTGCTTATTTCTAGGGTATTGTATTGGATGCTTACATATAAACCATCCAACGAAAAGGAAATTAACAATTTAAGAGAACAAATCTTTCTAAAGTCTCAACAAATTGAAAAATTAAACGAAACCAAATATTTAATATTTAATCAATAACCAACCAATATACACAACAACATTAATAATAGTAATACAAATACAATTTGTTATGTTTTTTTTTATAAAAAAATATATTTAAATATATAGTTTTTTTATTTTATTTATACAGTTTTTTTTTTTTTTTTAAAATTTATACAATTATATCAGCTATAAAATTAATAAATCTGGCGGCATATTCAACTGGATCCACTGAAGAAACTTCGCCCTATTATATTTAAATATAATAAATTAATAAAATATAAAAGGTTTTTTTTAAATTAAAAAATTATTTTGCTTACCTTATTAAAAAGCGATTTATATGTGTGTTCAATTTGTTTTCTAAAAGAATATAGCATTAATATATCTATTATACCCATAAAATAGTATTCACCCAATGCTTCATTTTTATCATTAATACCTTGCATACCACCTTTATCATGTTCGAAAATTGAAATCTTTGGTTTAATATAAGGTTGGGGTGATGATTGTGATTCTGGTAAAACTGGTGGTAAACTTGGATTTTCAACAGGCTTCATATATTGACTACTATTTAGCTGTTGTAGGTATTGTTGTTGATATTGTTGCTGTTCCTGTTGCTGTTGCTGTTGAAGATTATTTATTTTATTTTTTAAATTATTTTGATTTAATTCTTCTTCTGATAAATAGTTTAAATCGTGAATTGGTTCATTAATTAAACTAGTTGGTGTATTATTATAATATTTATTTGGAGTAGTGGTTGTTGTTTTGGTTTCAGTAGTTGCAGTTGTGTTTGCAGAGGTTGAAAATTTTGGCTCTCCATCATGATTAAAATAATTTAAATAGTTTTTAGTTTCTTTAATTGAGGATATTTTTTTTGAAACACGTAAATCATCATCTGAACCAAATTCATAATCTGATTCATATTCGTCCCCAGTTGAATAGTTATCACCGCTTTCAAACTCATTGTCTTGTTGATAATGGGTTGCTATTTTATTATTGCTACTGTTAATATTACTTTTATCCAAACTGTTGGTTTGTTTGTCTGTTGATGCTGGTGGTTGTGATACATCGTTTTTATTGTGTAAACCTATCAATAGACTATAGTCCATAATATTTAACTTTACTAAAAATTTGCAATCTTCGCTAAGTTGATGCATAAATAATTTCTTTCTATCAGGACCTAAATGAATTTTTTTACCTAATCTACGGAAATCTAAATCTTTGAGTGTAGGGCATGTCTTTTTTAATTCTTCTGGTGATAATTCTCTACCGACAGTTGAGCCTTTTAAATCAAATCTTTGAGTGATTTCTTTGGGTGTGTAAAACAAATTCTTCATAACTAAAAAACGTACTTGTCTTCCACCAATTGGTTTAACACGATGCAGACCAAAGAACTTTGTTAATAGGCTGTTGGGGTTTCTTTTCATATGCTCGTAATATTCTGGAAGCAAAGATCTAAGTAGCTTTGCCTCTCTCTTTGGAATGGTCTTTAACACATATTGATTATCATGAGTGAAAAAGAATATACTTCCGCTTTTACCTGGTGTAACTACTTCATTCCATGGTTTGCAGATTGAATGAACATATGATATGGGATCTATATTAAACAACTCACGGAGACGAGAAAAGGCATGAGGACAATAATCCTTAAATCTAAAAGTCATATTAGGGTGCTCTTCTATTACTGGCAATAAATAATGAAAAGATTGAAAAAATTCATCAGAATCTTCTTTAATATTTCTATTTGATGTTTTTGAGATGCAATTGATTAGACCAGTTTGAATGGTACGCATCAAAAGCCAACTTGGATGACCTTTGAATATAGTTTCGCCCAGGGAATTCTTTTTATGTTCTAAGTGTTTATTTTTTTTCTTTAATCTTCTCTTCTTTTTACCTGATTTTTTAACCTTAGTTTCCCCAGCAATATTATCCGTTGAAGTACCAAATACTTGACTACCCGAGGCAATGTTGTCAGTTGATGATGTTGCAGTATTTGTATTTAAAGTATTGTTATTATTATTTGATACAGTTGATAGTGGTATACCCTCAACAATATATTGGCTATTTATATTATTGCCATGATCTTGCATCGCCTCTAAAATATGCTTTTCAATTTTCTTTTCTTTCTTTAATTCTTTTTTACTTAGCTCTTCTTTGTTTGGAAATAACTGAGTTGATGCTGGAGGTATATATGGTTTTGATGTATTTAATGGTGTGGACTCTCTTAGATTAACACTAGTTGATTTTCTTATAACATTGTGCTCCTTTAATGGTGTATCATTTGGTAATTTGTCAATATTATTAATGATTATCGATTCTTCATCATATTCTTTTATTTCATTTTTTTCTATTTTTTGGTTATTATTTATATTATTACTATTGTTTTGCAGATTTTTTATTTTATTTTTTTCGAAATCTAATGGTGATAAAGGTATATCTATTAATTGATCGTCTAATGCTAAGTTTTTATTTATTGGTGTTCCATTGATGCTATTTTGCCCATTTGGTATATTGAGTTGATTATTTATTGTGTTTGTTTCGATTGGTACCAAATCTGTAATTACAAAGAATTCATTTTTGTGAAATATATTGGTTAAGTTATCTTCATTTGAATTTTCTATACTGTTTTTACTGAAACTATCTTTGTTTCCATTAATAGTTCTTTTTATAAAATTGGGTGAGATGCTTTTATATTCACTACTATCTTCATTACTGGCCATATTATTATTTATTTCATTATTAGTATCCATGGCTATTTAATATAATTTTATTATTTTGATTTTTATTTATTTTATTTTATTATTTTATTATTATTTTTATATATAGGTATACAATAGAATAAATAAATAAATAAATAAATAAAAATTAAATAAATTATCAGTATAAATAATTTAAACAACACAAAATAAATGAAAAAAAAATAAAAAAAAACAAATAATTATTTATTTTTTTAAATTTAATTATTAATATTATTATAATGTGTTATTGTTATTATTGTTATTATATTTAAAAAAAAAAAAAAAAAAAAAAAAAAAAAAAAAATTTTCCTTTTTCTTTTTCTAAAAAAAAAAAAAAAATTAAATTAAAACCTTTTTTACCCTTTTAAAGAATTTTTTTTATAATTCTATAAATTTTTTAATTTAATGGATTTAAACAATTTTATAAAGATAGGATAAAATTATATAGGTATAAAATTTTTTTTTACCAAACCATAAATAAATAAAACCTTAAAAAAAAAAAAAAAAAAATTTATACTTTTTATTTATAAAATAAAATAATAAAAATATAAAATAAATTCATTGAGAGAGAATTGTGTGTCATAAATATAAAATATATATTTATATTTATATGTGTGTGTGTGGTGTGTGAGTTATTATTAAAATAGTTTTTTTTTTAAACATTATTATTATCATTTTAATCCATGTTTTTTTTTTTTATTTTTTTTATTTTTATTTTTTTTGTTATTTATTTATCATTTAAATCATATTAAAATTATATTTAATAAATAATTTAACCAAAAATACACAGAATTTGACAGAATAAAAAAAAAAAATAAAAGGAAATTTATTTTTAATTTTTTTAATTTTTTTTTTAATTATTTTTTTTAAAAAAATTTTTTTGAATTTTTTAAAATTTTTTTTTTTTTTTTTTTCGATTATATAATTTTATTTGTATATTTTTGATTAATTTTAAATAATTTTAAATAATTTTAAATAATATAATAATAATAATAATAATAATAACTACATATTATATAAATTAATACCACCCGATTAACACACTGTTGTATCTTATAATTAATAATATTTATATTTCAACTCTTATAAATATATAAAATATTTTTATTTTAATTTATCGATTAATTATCAACTCTTACAGGGTCACATTAGAATAAATAGTATCACCTATCATATCATACCATACCACACAACTACAATAATATAACAATATATACATATAACAATATAAAATGGGTTGCTTTATGTCAAAAGTAAACGGTATGTTTTTTTATAGATATAGAGAGGATTTTAATCTTTGGCCATGGGCTCAATTTAGATTCGTTTTATAGTTATTGGAAACAATTTTAAATAACTATTGTAAAACATTGTTTAATAATAATTATCAATTAATCTATCCCTCTAAATTAATGATGATGTAAAAAACGATTAAAAAATCTTTTTTTCTTTTTACAATAATTATAATTTTAATTTTATATTAATATATTTTTTTAATATTAATAAAAACAATAATAATAGATAATAAAAATGAAAATGATGCAAGATCAAGAAATCAAGCTTCATCTTCACAATCAACTTCATCATCCGCTCAAACTCCATCAAAACAAATAAACATTCAACCAAAAGAGTAAATTATAAAATTATTTAGGTTATTTTAGATTATTAAAAAGGATATTAACATGTTGTTTTATTTTTTATAATTTTAAAGAGAAGAAAACCAACAAGAAGTTTCATACTCACAAATGAGAGAATTAGATAATGATTATTTCAAAGATATTATTGATAGAACTGCACAGTAATTATCACCCTATATATAGTTTTTAGGTATAGTTTTCAAGTTCTTTACTAATTACATCATTTTTTTTTGTTTTGTTTAGAAAATTCATTGATGTTTCAATGGTTGGTCCAGACGGTAAGGATCCATTCGATAAAGAAAAAGATTATTCAAGCCAAATTAAAGAATCAAAGATTCATAAACCAGTTGCTTTAACTGCACTCCCACGTTTATCACAACATTGTCAAACTTCAAACTTACACAATCTCCTTTCACAACCAACCAATTTCGATAGCGAATTAGTAAGAATATAAATTTATATACAATATACATGTAGGAATTAAAATATTAACTTTTTTTTCTTTTTTTTCAATCATTCTAGATGAACCGTTATTCAAATAGTATTCTTGAATCATTAAATAATATTCATGTTAAGGATTGTGGAGAACTTGTTGTATTTTTTGGTAACTCATTAAAACAATAAATTTTAAATTACAATAAATAATATAAAAAAACATCAAAAAAAAATAACAAAATAAAAAAATAAAAAAAATAAAATTAATAAAAAATAAATAATTCTTTATTCTTTCTTTCTTTCATTTCAATTTATATTTATATATTAAATAGATATATAAATATAAAAAAAACAATTAAATAAAAAAAACTACAAAATTCAAATCTATTACACCATCTTTATGCCATCATTTCTTTTTTATTTTTATTTATTTTTAGTATATTTTTTAATCTTAAACTCTTTTATTCTAACCACTTACATTTTAGATAAAAGTCAGTACTTTTTTTTTTTTTTTTAAAAAATATGACCATTTAATTGATATATAAACATATGGTTGTGGTATAAATAATTAAAAGAAAATAAATGGATTGGTTAAAGTATTTGGTAGTTAATTTGAATTATCCTTTACCACACTACCACACAAAAAAAAAAAAAAAAAAAAAAAAAAAAAAAAAAATAACCACATTTTTTATAGGTTTGGAGGTTTTCTAATTGTTTTATATTTTATATAATTTTCAATATAATTTTATAATAAATATTGGGTATCAAATGATCATTTTCTTTAAAACTGACATTTAAAAAAATAAAATAACTGTGGGTTTCTATTTATTTTTCCCCCATTTAATAGCACCCTTTTTTTTTTTTTTTTTTTGGTTTGAAATTTTAATTTATTTTAATTTTATTTTTTTTATATTTATTTAATGAATTAGATTTTTTAAATTACAAATAAAATAAAAAAGAATAGTTTGATAGATTCTATATGTAATATTAGAAATGTTAGTAAATAAATATTTCTTTTTATATTTTTTATTCATTATTATATCGAATGTAAGTTATATTTTTAATTAAAAATGAAAACATATATTAATATTGACAATACTATTCCTTAATTAATTTTAAAGATAGATGCAATAAAAATTAATAATAGTGGAAATCAATTAAATTTTAATAAATTAAATAATGGTTTAAATATAACATATGATCATAGATCTTTAATTATAAATGGAGAAAGAAAATTATTAGTAAGTGGTTCTGTACATTATCCAAGAGCATCTGTATCAAAATGGAATGAAATTTTAAAGTCAAGTAAATTAGCAGGTGTGGATATAATTGAAACTTATATTTTTTGGAATGTCCACCAACCAAACACACCAAATGAATTTTATCTTGAAGATAATGCAAATATAACCTTGTTTTTAGATTTGTGTAAAGAGAATGAGCTATTTGTTAATCTTAGAATTGGTCCATATGTTTGCGCTGAATGGAATTATGGAGGTTTCCCAATCTGGTTAAAGAATATCGAAGGAATAGTGTTTAGAGATTACAATCAACCATTTATGGATGCTATGTCAACTTGGGTAACAATGGTGGTAGATAAACTTCAAGATTATTTTGCACCAAATGGGGGTCCAATTATTATAGCTCAAATAGAGAATGAATATGGTTGGTTAGAAAATGAATATGGGGCATCTGGTAGAGAATATGCTTTGTGGGCCATCAACTTTGCAAAATCTTTAAATATAGGAATACCTTGGATTATGTGTGCTCAAGAGGATATAGATAGCGCCATCAACACATGTAATGGTTTTTATTGCCATGATTGGATAGACCGTCATTGGAACGCTTTTCCAGACCAACCTGCATTTTGGACAGAAAATTGGGTAGGATGGTTTGAAAACTGGGGTCAAGCTGTCCCAAAGAGACCTGTTCAAGATATGCTATTTTCATCTGCTAGATTTATTGCTTATGGTGGTTCATTGTTTAATTACTATATGTGGTTTGGTGGTACAAATTTTGGTCGTTCTGTTGGTGGTCCATGGATTATTACATCATACGAATATGATGCCCCTCTAGATGAATTTGGCTTCCCAAATGAACCTAAATATTCGATGAGCACCCAGTTTCACTTTGTAATACACAAATATGAAAGTATAATAATGGGTATGGATCCACCAACACCAGTTCCTTTATCAAATATTTCTGAAGCACATCCTTATGGAGAGGATTTGGTTTTCTTAACAAACTTTGGATTGGTTATAGACTATATTCAATGGCAAGGTACCAACTATACACTTCAACCATGGTCAGTAGTAATTGTTTATAGTGGCTCTGTTGTATTTGACACTTCATATGTGCCAGATGAATATATCAAACCATCAACAAGGGATCAATTTAAAGATGTTCCAAATGCTATTAATTATGACTCGATTCTCAGCTTTTCAGAATGGGGCCAATCTGATATAATAAATGATTGTATTATTAATAACGAAAGTCCACTCGAACAAATCAATTTAACCAATGACACAACCGACTATCTTTGGTATACCACAAATATTACATTAAACGAAACAACAACTTTAACAATAGAAAATATGTATGATTTTTGTCATGTGTTTTTAAATGGAGCTTATCAAGGTAATGGATGGTCCCCAGTCGCATATATAACTTTAGAACCAACAAATGGTAATATAAACTATCAGTTACAAATTCTCACAATGACTATGGGATTAGAAAACTATGCAGCTCATATGGAATCATATAGTAGAGGTTTATTAGGAAGCATCTCGTTGGGTCAAACTAACATTACAAATAACCAATGGTCAATGAAACCAGGAATATTAGGTGAAAAACTCCAAATCTATAATGAATATTCATCGTCCAAAGTAAATTGGCAACCATATAACCCATCAGCAACCCAATCAATGACATGGTATCAATTTAATATTTCTTTAGATGGATTATCATCAGATCCAAGCTCCAATGCATATGTTTTAAATATGACATCAATGAACAAAGGTTTTGTTTATGTTAATGGATTCAATATTGGTCGATACTTTTTAATGGAGGCAACTCAATCCAACTGCACTCTAAAACAAGATTATATAGGCATATATACACCATCCAATAATCGTATAGATTGTAATGAACCAAGTCAATCCCTCTATCATATTCCGCTAGATTGGTTATTCCTCCAACAAGATAAACAATATGCTACAGTTATATTGTTTGAAGAAGTTAATGGGGATCCAACCAAAATCCAATTACTTTCATTATAAAAAAGCAATAAAATAAGAAATAAAACAATCATCTTTTTTAAAAAAAAAAAGCTAAAAAAAATAAAATATCTGTTTGAAACTCCACTTTATAATTTTTTTAAATTGTTTTTTTTTATTATTTTCACTTTTACTATTACTAAAATTGATTATTATTATTATTTACTATATGTCCATTATTTATTTCTTTTCTTTTTGTTCTTTTTCTAATTCTTCTTTTGATTTTTCGATATTGAATAAGAAATTTGGTGGAGTGTAAGCACCATCAGTACCTGTTGGATTTGCAATATGTGGTCTCTTATAAGTTGGAGCAAATGAAAGCATCTATTTATATTTAATTTTAAATTAATTAATATTAAGTACACAACTTTTTATTGTTTTTGCTATAATGATAGAGTGATCGTGCTGCTATGCTGTAATGTGATATATTAAATAAATTTATAGTATAATGAGTATTACCTCTGAACCTGGTCTATCGGAAATAAAGTGAATATATGAATGCCATTCTGGTGGAATGGTAGTTGGATCTGGGTTTTTGTAATCACCATATTCGACCCATCTGTGTCTACCAAAGATTTCTTCTTTATTTTCATAATATCTAAATTAAAAAGTAAAAATAAGATTAGTCTCCATACATACATAAATGATCATATCACACAACCATCATCGTCATCACCATTATTTTGAAATGATTATGCTAAAATATAATGAGTTCATACTTGTTACCGAATTTATCTACACCAACAAGAGTACCATATTTAAGTTCTCCAGTGTAATATAAAGTTTTGCATGATTCGAGGACACCACGTTGTAAAATACCTTTGCAATATCTAATAATTTCTGACATTTTTATGAAGGTTTGTAAATATATAAAATGAAAAAATAAAATAAAAAAATTAAAAAAAAAATTAAAAAAATTAAAAAAAAAAAAATAAAAAAATTTTAAAAAACAAAAAAAAAAAATTATAAAAAAAAAAATAAAGAATCATTTTCAAAAAAATAATCACTTATAATCAAATCAATTTTCATAATGTAAACAAATAACTATATTTAAAATAATAATAGTTTTTTGGGCAAATACAACTTTGTAAATATTTAGTTTTTGTAAAAATATATTTTTTTTGGGGTTGTGTGAAATTCATTAATGTAATCAATTTATTTTCAAAATATTTCTTGAAAATATTTATTTGTTTGTAATTCAACTTTAATATATTTGGAAGGTAAAAATAGAAAAATAAAGAATAATAAAATAAAAAAATAAAAAAATAAAAAATAAAAATAAAAAATAATAAAAAAGAAAATAGTTTTTTTAAATCTATTTATTTTAAAAGTGTCTTTTTAAAATTTTGGTTTGTTTTTAATTCCAACTTTTCCCAAAATGATGTAATTTTGGATATATTTGGAGGTATTGTTAGTTAAATTTGGTATTATCTCATTTTCAAAAACAAATGTAACTGCAAAAAAATAAAAATAAAATTTTTTTTAAAAATTTAATTTTTTAAAAAACAAAATTAACGCAATAAATGACTTATTTGAGTTTTTTATGGTGATAATATTTTATTCGATACGCAATATTTTAGTTTAAAATTATTATTTATCAAAAAAAAAATATAATTTAAAATAATTATTACCTTGATTAATTAAAAATCAAATACAATTTTTTTATTAACCATATTTTTTTCAATAAATAACTTTTTTTTTTTTTTTTATTTTGTTAAAATTCCTTTAGCACAATTGTAATAATAGTTTTATATATAACAGCATGGGAAAATCAATATTTCAATTTAAATCAGCAGATGCAGATTCACCAAAACCATTCCCACAAGAAGAGGATAAGCCATTAGTTGTTTTATTAGGTTGGATGGGCAGTAAAATGGTTCATTTAAATAAATATGGTGACCAATGGAGAAAAAGAGGTTTCAATACATTATCATATTGTTCAAATCCATCAGAGATGTAAGTAAAATGAAATATTATTATATAAACAAAAAAAAAAAACATTAGATGTTTATTCCTTTTGATTAAAAATTAGATTAATGCCGGGTGCTATTAAAAAGAAAGGTACACTCATGCTCGAACAAATTAGTATGTATGTAAAAGAAAACCCAAAATGTAATACTATTATTTTCAATGCAATGTCAAATGGTGGTGGTTTCTATTATAGTTTTATGATAGGCGAGATTCACGACAACCAGAAATGGCAACACTTAAGACCCTATGTCAGAGGTACTGTATTAGATTCATTACCAGCAATTAGACCATGGTCTGTTTTCACTGCTTTTAAAATGACTTCACCAAACTTTTTGGTAACCTGTGTCTTATTTGTTCTTATTCCATTTGTTATGTTATTATTTGCTGGTTATATGAAAATATATGTAAACAATCTTCAAAGTGCCAAGGTAAGTATCATATTATTAATATTTTTTTATACAGTTTCTAATTTAGTTTTAAATTTTTTAGAATCAATGGCAACATTTAATTTTATACTCTAAAAGCGATATCATTGTTCATTCAGATGATATTGATAAAATTGTAATGGTTATTAAAGATAATATTATAAACAAACAACAGTTAGATACAAAGTGCTGGGACGATTCCCCACATGTTTCGCATTTACGTCATCATCCAATCGAATATGAAAATAGATTGAATAATTTCGTAGAATCTATTAAAAGACACGGATTTTCAAAATAAATGTTTTATATATAAACCTAAATTAAAATATATAAACCCAGATTTTTTTTTTTTTTGTTTCTGTAAATTAAAATACAATTTATTAAATTTATTACTTTTTTTTAAATATTTATTTGTGATCAATTCTAACCCTTAAAATGTATTTGATTTTAACTTGATCAACTTTATAGACAATGTACTCATTGTGGGTACAACTACTCTTAAAGTTTGTGTTTTTAATTTTACCTAATGGAACAATTACATTATCTGATTCTACTAAGGCTTTGTCATCACCAATGGGGGCAGCCATACCCAAAGCTTTGGTTGAATGGAATGGTTTTGGTGCTTCCTCCATGTATTTGTCGTGTAATAATTCATATTTATCACCAACATAAACTTCGCAGAGTAACATTAAAGCTACTGGGGAATCTTTAATTTTTTAAAAAAAAAAAAGTTAGTAAATTAATAATAAAATAATAATAATTAAGAAAATTACATACCTCTGGTGGTAAAACAATATGAGGCTGATTTACTGACAGTATCTAAAATAATTAAATAATAAGTTAATAAAATGTTCTAAATCTAAAATTAAATTAAATTAAAATAATACTAACCTGCAAAGTAAATACCCTTACCGAAACGATAACTAAAATGAAATAAAAATTAAAAATTAGTGAGTGTTTCGAAACTATAAAAATATTATAATAAAAATAATTACCCAGTTTTTGGAGCTTCTGGTGGAGCAATTCTTAAACCTTGTGAAATAATACCAACGAAATTGGTTAAACGAGAACCGTGCCATAATAAAAGTCTTTTTGGATCTTTGGCATATGGAGTGAATCTATTGGATTCGTTATTTCTATCAACTGAAAGAATATCTTCAACGTTGATACCAAATCTGAATTGTTTAGTGTCATGACTGTTATCGACATAGGAGACCAAGGTTTTATAAAGATTACCACTCTTATCAAGAATTGAGAATTTGGTGTTAAGAGTTAGATATTGGTTTTCAATCATATTACCTTCAACATTTTCTGTTTGTTTCTTGAGTGAGTTAGCAATATCAATATCGATAAGAGCTTCGACCAATTGCATTTTAGCTTTGATGGATTCAACAGAGTCGATAAGTGGTGGAGCGTTATTACCAAAGTTATGTGGAATTAAAGTGTAGAAACGTTGGGAGCAATCTTTTAATCTATTCTTTGAAACATTAGCACCTTCAGAAGTAAGGAGATCTTGAATTTCAGATAATACCTTGTAACCTTGCATTAATTGCGATTTTTTGATTTTACCCAATGGCATCTTATCAGTATCAACATTCATAGATTGTAATTGTTTCTTCATCATATCTTGATCAAACATTAATCTTATTAAATCTTGAACTCTTTCATGAAGACCTTCTTTCTTTGTGACGATTTGGTTTTCGGTGTTGGAGGTAAGATCCTCTCTCTTCTTTTTAAATACATTATTTACCTCTTCTTGTTCTTCTTCATCTTCCCAACCATCATCAAGAGCAACCATAAAGTACTTTCTTGGTTTCTTTTTGAATCTAAGACGATCTTCCCAGTTATTGTCTGTAAAATAGAAGAATCTTTCAGCGAATAAAGCTAAAGCTTTATTATAGGTTTTGAATGTTTCTTCTTTTGAACCACCAACAGAATCTACACCGACTCTACCCCATTTTAAGAAAACAGTATATGATTCAACACCTATTTTTTTGATTAATTGAATTTGATAGAATTTGTTTGAATTGCTTTCGATATCTAAAAGATTAAGCATAACATTATGGGCAGTATAGCCGTTATCTTTGTCATAGCTAACATAAATTTCATAGGAACGGAAACTATAATCACTGTGGACCTTTAGAATATTTGAGCCTGGTTTTGGTTGTTTTTTTGGTTTGACTTCAACTTCAATCTCTTTTCTCTTTTTGCTTGTGGTGGTTGTGGTTGTGGTTTTCTTTTCGACTGGTTTAAAATATTTTTCAGTATAAAGTAATTGATCATCATTTAATTTTGATGGAGTGATTACTAAATCTTTTGAAACTGAGGTTTTTCTTAACTCAATGCCTTTGTTAGTTCTATTACATAAATCTTTGAGCCATTCAACTGAAAAGATTGGGATGTTATCGATAGCATTCTGAACTTTTTTGGTAACTTTATTTTTTTTGACCTCTTCATCACATGAAATCATAACTGTGGCTTTGAGTGGATCCTCTACAACTGAACCTCCATGGTCATTAATGAGATCTTTAATTTCACTAGTTGCAATACCTAAAACTTTGGCTGAACCTGCAATAGAAAAAATCATATTAACACACTCTTCATTAACTGGTACTTCATCTTCTTCTCTATTTGGATCGAGAGCGGCCTCGCTTAAATCGGCACCATCTTCGGATTTTAAACTTGCACTCTCTTGAAGTGAGGCTGATTCTCCTTTTTCTGCTTCTTCTTCTTCTTCTTCTTCATCTTCTTCTTCATCATCGTCATCATTATATTTTGGTTCAGCTTTTGGATAGTCTTTGGTGTATTTATAAGATGAGAGGAATTTGTTACTTGCAAGTTCTGGTGGAATTAATACTTTGAAACGATCAAGAGAATCACCACTCCAATCACACTTGGTAAATTCAGAAAGCCAACCTTTGCATTGAAACTCGACACCATTGAATAATACTTCAAAGTTTTTACATGTTGGGCATTTACCTGGACGACCTTTCAACATCCAATCAGAAAGAGTATGGAGAAGATGGACTGGTGATACTTTGTCAACAAAACCTTTGTTAAATTGAATTATTGACTTGATAGCAGGACCTTTAAGATTATCTCCAATAAGATCTTTGGTATCCCAAAGAGCTACTAAATATTTTTGTCTTTGAACCTCTGTTGCTGATTTTGGATCATACTTTTCATGTTTGAAATATTTGGTTTTAATATCTAATTGATCCTCCCATTTAAGATATTCCCAGTGAACTAAATCAGTAAATTTTGGTACACCTGCGCATTTACATTTTAAATGATGCCATGAAATATCCCTTTAATTGAAAAAAAAAAAAAAAAAAATATTTTAATAACAAAAAATTTAAATTTGAAATAATTAATGTGGGTGATATTAATGTTAATGTGTTATTATTAGAGAGAGACAGCGGAAACTATATAGTTTTCATATTTATTTGTTAAGGTAGAGTATATTATTGTTGTTGTTTTTGTGTAAATAATATTTGCGTTAAATATAATTTTGATTTTTACATTCCATCAAAGTGTCTTGATTTGGTTTTGTAACCAATTCTAACATCTTCTTTATTAATACCTCTTGAACAAGTGGCACAACTTGATCTATCGGATTTGGCATATTCAACTAAATAGGGCGATTGGTTTTTAGTTGCCATTTTGATTTATAAACAATATATTACAAATAAAAATACAAATAAAAAAAGCTATGAAATATAAAAAAAAATACAAACAAAAATTTTTTTCAAAAAATTTTAAAAAAAAAAAGCAAAACAAAAAAAAAAAAATTTTCAAATATCTGAGAAAAATTTTTGTTACAAGAAAAATGATATTTTTAATAAATAAATAAAAATGTGAATAATTTTGTTTTATTTGTAAAAAATATATTAATAATTTATTTTAGTTTTTGAAAAGGTTTTGTTTTTTCTATTTTTAGAAATTGAAAAAAATTTTTTTTTTTTTTTTTTCATAAATATGATATAATAATTTGAAATAAATAAGAAAGCTAATACTAACACTGTGGACTGATTCCAGTACGCAAGGAGCATGGCACAACTCTGTTTTTGATGCAACGTGGGTCACGGTGGAACTTGTCACAATAAGCTGCCATTGTAAGTGATGAGCCATTTGCTAATATTAATAATAAAAACAGTAATATATAAAACAATATTGGAATTTTTATTATCATTTTTTTATGTTGCTATATTAATATTTTCTTTGCCTAATTTATAAAATTCTTTAACTATTGATTTATTTTTTATAAATTTTATAATCTTAAAATGATGATGTAAATTTTTTTTTGTATATTTATACTTTTTTTTATTGTTTGTTTTTATTTAATTTTTTTTTTTTTTTTTATTATTTTAAATATACAAATAAAGTTATTATAATTTTTTTCTGTATTTATTTTTATAACCAAATAAAAACAATTTAAAAATTAAATATAACAAAAGGTTTAAAAAATATACATCTAATAAAATGATTTTTTGTTTTTGTGTGATTGTGTGTAATGGTGTGTGTGGTGGGGGGTAATATTTAAATAAAGTAACTTTTTAAGTATATATTATTCTATCCACATTTCATAATAATATTCATAATAACAGCAATTAACAAAAAAACAACAACAACAAAAAAAGTTAAAAAAACAAATATTTAATATTTATTTTTTGTTTTTTTTTTTTTTTTTTTTTTTTTAATCGAAATTTTGAATTTTATTTTTGGTACTGATTCATCGATTTATTTAAAATCTTTTTAAAATAATTTATTTGTATATTATTATACAAATAAATATAAAATAGTATTATATTTGTTATATTTGGTATTAAAAGTCTAAACAAAAATTGAAAAAAATTAAAAAATCTTTTTTTTTTTTTTTTTATTTTTTTTATTTTTTTAATTTTTTTTTATTGTTTTATTTTTTTTATTTTTTTAGAGCCTTATAAATTTTTTTTACATATTGATCACAATTGTAAAAAACAGGATATATCAAAATTTCATATATATTTTAAATATATACTTTCCTATTTTCCTCATATCACTACACATTAAATATATACACCTCATATCCATCAATCACCCCACCATCACATATTATATAATATTATATATAATATTATAAATATATATATATATAATAGTATAATAATATAATAGTATAATAAAATAATATAATAATATCTCCCTTTATAAATAATAATTTTTATATTTTACATATTATAAAATTATTTTATTATTATTAATAATATTATTTTTTTTCAATACGAAATAATATTTTTATATTAGTAATAATAATAGATTAATAACATGTTATATGGAGTTACAAATATTTTTTTATATATAGAGTCTTTAAGAGTTGTTGATTTATTAAGAAAAGGGTAAAAATAAATAATATTTACAAAAAAAAAAAAAATAAAAAAAAAAAGAAAAATTAAAAATAAAAAACATTAGATACTAACCCTCCATTATTATTATTGTAGTGTATATAATTTAAAAGTTAAAGTATTTCAAGAAAATGAAGTTACAAATATCGCCAAACCAACAATTATTCAAACTCGTATGTGTTATTAATTTTTTAAAAAAAAAAAAAACCTTTTTTGAATATTAGATATTAATCTATAATCTAACCAAATTTATACAGCAAAATTAAATAAAGATTATAGTCATATTATTAAAGAACATGAAATTTTAAATACACATTATTATTCATCAAAAAAGTTTTTTGTACAATATGTTAACGAATTCTTTTTATTTGGTAATTTTGTTTCATTTCAAATTGAATTACCACTATATGTAAGTATACTATAACATAAATCTCTATTTTTACGACCAATAATACTAATTGAATCATTTTTTCTAGAACTACTATTCAAACAATGTAATAATTGATTTTGAATTGGTATACTACCCAACTGATGAAGACTCAACAGAATCAATACCTACATACAGCTCAATGTCAAGCTCATCACAGCCACAAGAAAAGGTTGTATCTCAGCAAAGAATACGCATTAACAAAGCAGGCTATGGTGTACATCAATATATACCAATTACATTTTGTGATTTATACTTTTGCTTATTTAGGGTAATGATAGCAACATCATTGGTAGATATTAAATTTAGACACCAATCTATTGAGTCATTAATAAACTTTAATACTTTAAATTTAAACCCAACAACCCCACCACATCAATCTCAAAATCATAACAATTTAAATATAAGTGACAATAGTATAAACTATGCTAATAGTCATCAAAGCAACGAATCATTACTTTCAACATCACCCTCTTCATCATCATCATTTTCCTCATCCCCAACTATTAAATCATCCTCCTCATCCCCATCTTTAAACTCAATCAATAATAATGTAAATAGTTCAACATCAAATATTAGTAGTACAAATGGATCAACATCATCTTCATTATCAAGCTTACCTTCAATCAGCAATAATAACAACATTAATAACATTACCATTTCGCCTATTGGCACATCACCAAAACTATTAAGACAAAAAATTGGCAGATTAAGTTTATCAATGGGTCAAATTCACTCATCACCCCTCGAAGAAGATTTTTTAAATGATTTCTTTGACTACAAATATCCAGAAGTTTTATCATTTTATGTAGAATCATATTATAGGCTTAGCAATAAACACAAAGTCTTACTATCCCTATTAAAGCAATCCCAACTAATAGCATTGGGCGAATCTGTAACAAATATACCACCATTAAATATACCACCATTTTCTAGACATATCTTTAATGATAACAGTAATACATCATCTCCATTACAACAACCAACTGCCCAACAATCTTCATCACCACAAACACAACTACCAAAACTATACTCTAACAAATCTATGAATATTAGTCAAGATAGTTTAAACAACAGTTCAGATGAAACAAATAGCAACAGCAATAGCGGCTATACAAATAGTAGTCATAATAGCAATGGCAGTGGCTCATGGAAGGTGGCAATAAAAACTGTTGAATCTGATTTAGCAAACAATAGAAAGAAATCTTTCCTTAGAAATAGCCAAGAAATTAGCAATCAAATTATCAGTGATTATATGACCACTCAAGATAATGCAAACAATAGCAACCTATCACCAACATCATCAGTATCATCATTTTCACCCACCAATTTAAACAACTCACTTAATAATATACCAACACTAAATAATTATCAAAATAATCTTCCACACTCACACTATTCATTACCAGTAGGTAGCAGTAATGGAATCTCAACAATAATAAACCAAGGAAATGATTTAATTTTAAGTAATCAATCAAACAATAACAATCCTAATCATAATAATAACCACAATCATAATAATAATAAAATTAATAACAATAATATTAATAACTATGTAGCAAACTATATTCAATCACAAAATAATATTATAATGAAGTGGAAAACCATTTTATTAAATTTTCAAAATTTATCAGAACAAATTACAAAGTTGTGGAATAATTTTATAGTTGTTTACCAAATGGTCTCAAGAGAGTATTGTTTTAGAAGCTCAATAAATTATGAAAAGAAATGTATAGATAAATGGGGATTCAGAGTTCAAAAAATGGTACAATACATCCAATCGGCTGATGACCTCTTATTATCAGATACAAGTATTCCATCGTCATGTTTCCTATCAACAAATCCAACATTTTTTAACTATAAACCATTTAAAATTCAACACATCCCATTAAAACCAGATTCAGTATACCACTCAATGCCAATATTTTTTGAACATATTTTAAAAATTCACAAAGAGCAAATTGAAGAAGATCAACAACAACAACAAAAATCAAAACAACAATTAATACAAGCACAACAAGATAGTGAATCATCGTTTAATAATAAATTCAATGTACCATCAACAACTCAGCAATTTAAACATCTATTTGTATTTGTACATGGTTTATCAGGTAGCTCATATGACTTAAGGCAATTTAAAAACTATTTTCAACTACACTTCCCAAATTTTGTTTTTTTAATATGTTCATCAATCGAAGAGAACACTTTGGAGGATATACAACAAATGGGTGAAAAAATAGCACAAGAACTTCATGAATATCTCTATGAGAATAATTTAATGCAAATTGCTAAAATTAGCTTTTTAGGACATTCATTAGGTGGTTTAGTAGTGAGAAGTGCTCTCACTTCAAATAAATTAAAACCATACCTTTCTAAACTCCACAGCTATATTAGTTTATCGTCGCCACATCTTGGTACCAAATCTGTTTCAAGTACTTCAATTGTTACCTCCGCATTGTGGGTTTGGCAAAAGTTCACTAGCTCTACATGTTTAAAACAATTGCTAATGCAAGATGCTCCAAACCTAACAGATTGCTATCTCTATAAACTCAGTCAGGCCAAATCATTCGAATACTTTCAATATGTTTTCTTAATTAGCTCTGAACAAGACGGCTATGTACCATACCACAGCGCCAGGATTGAAGTACCCAAAGTTGATTCAGGCAAAGAAAACTCTAGCAAACATATCCAAACTTTAAAAAAAATGGTTCAAAATTTATTAGATCCAATAAGATTAAATACATCTTCAAAAACATCAACATCCTTTACAAAAAGTAATGGCAGCAGTTTATTAAGCTTTATTGGCAATAGTAGTTTCCAAAGTAGCAACAATAATGGCGGTACAATAAGCTCAAGGGAACAACAAATCAAATCATTACCAAGATTTATTAAAATCAATGTTATTTTTGAAGCCCATAAAGGTGTTGATGGTGTTATAGGTAGATCTGCACATATAAGAATGTTAGATCAAATTTGGTTTATGCAAATGCTTGTTCAACTATACAAACAACATTGGGAAAATTAATGAATTTATTTAATTTTTATAAAAATAAAAAAATAAATAAAAATAAATAAAAAAATAATAACAACATTTGTATTGTTTTATTATTTGTTTTTTTTTTCAAAAAATAAACAATTATTTTATATTATTATTAAAATTTTATTTTTAGTAATAATTTTATATTCAAATAAAATCCAGTTTTTTATATATGAAAAATTCTAAAATATTAAATTTATAGTTTTAAAAGAAAAAAAGATTTACAAAGAAAATTTATTTATAAAATTGGTTGGATTGTTGTTTTGTGGCTAATGCGTTATTTTTGATATATTCTTGTTGATAAACGTATTATTTGCGTTGTTTTTCTATTTTAAATTATATTTAACGAGTGTATTTGCCCCAGATGTGTAAAATGATGACAAAAGCGATAAAAATTAAACTCATGAAAAGGACAGCAGTTGGACCACTAATATTATAAATAGTTGTTATTGTTATTTTTGTTATGTTGTTATGGTTGTCGTTTTTGTTTATTTGTTGATTTGATATAGTTGTCATATAAATTGTTTAATATCATAATTGATTTTTTATTAACAAGGTTAATTTCAATAATAAAATTCGTATTTATATATAAATAGATTTGAATTATAAATAAAATAGAAATAGGTTAGAAAAATTATATCGATATTTGTAATATAATGATATTTTTATAACAACTTACACTTTTAAGCCAATAGCATCTTTTGAGTAAACTTTCATACCTAAACCGCTGCTACCTTTGTTAACGGTGGCTGGAGCTCTTGCGTTTTGACGTCTATTATTAATATAATTAAAAAAAACCTATTAATAAGCCATACCTTTTTTTTTTTTTTTATATACAACTATTGCTTTTGATTATTAATAACTTAATAATAAAACACAATAATAACCAAACATTATAAATATATATTAATTTTACCTCATTTTATGAATTTATATATAGTGATGGTGAAATGAAAAAATTTAAAAAGAAAATTATATTTTTTTTTTTTAAAAAAAAAAATTGTATTTTTTAATTTTTTTAAAAAATTTTTTTTTTATGATGATACTTTGTGTGTTTTGACTTTTTTTTATGTGTGTTTTGACTTTTTTTTTTGAACTAATATTTAATTGTAATACAAATATAGAAAAACACAAAAAATAAAAAAATAAAAAAATAATAATAATGAATAATAATAAATATTAATTTATTTTTTTTAGTTAATTTTTTTATATATTATTTTCTTTTTTTATTTTTATTTTTTATTTTTTTATTTTTTTATTTTTTATTTTTTTCATTTTTAATATGTCCATGATTGAACATGCATTATTGATCATCCAAATTTTATTGTTAATATAAATACCTATGAATATGAACATAAATATAAATATAAATATAAATGTAAATATAAATATAAATATAAATATAAATATAATAATTTTTATAAAAAAAAAAAAAAAATATCTTTAATTGAAGCTTATAGCAAAAAAAAAAAAAAGTGTTGCAACATATATTTGGAATGTGATATTTTTTTTACTTTACTTCATTTTTTCATTTTTTTCATTTTTATTTTTCTTTTATTTTTTTTTTTATTTTTTTTTTTTCATTTTTTTTACATGTTTTTGTTTATATATTTATTACTTTAATTATAACTTTTTTTTTTTTTTCATTTTTTTTTTAAAGTAATATGAATATAGATTTTATTTTCCATTTAAATTAAAGAAACTAAAAAAATGGCTTGAAAGCCATTTTTTTTTTTTTTTAAAAAATTTTTTTTTTTTTTTATTTTAAAATTTTAAAATTTTTTGGATTTAAAATTTTTTAAATTTTTTTTTTTTTTTTTTTTTTTAATTATTTTTTTTTTATTGACAATATTTTCTTTTTATTTGTGTATTTAAATAATTAGAGAATTCATTCGATATTAGAGATTTTTTGTGTTTTGTTTTTTATAGCCTATAAATTTAACAATCAATCAAAAACTCTATAGTTTTTTTTTTTCATAATTTTTATTTATATATATATAAACCCTTGTAAAAAATAATTGTATTATAATAAATCAAATTAAAATGTCTGCTTATGATATTGACCACTTAGCTCAATGCATTACTGCTCATGCTTGGAATGCTGATAGATCAAGTACATATCACTAATTAGTTATTAATTAATAGTTAACAGTCAATAGTAATAATAATAATAATAATCACAAAATTTAATTAATATGTGGATGATCAATTTCAAAAAAAAAAAATAAAATAAAAAAAAAAATAAATAAATAAACTTCTTATTATAATAATATCCCTATTGTTTATAATCAACACAATCAATATTTAATCATAGAAACAATATAATAGCAACAATAGATGTAATATTTAAAAATTTAAATGCTAATAAATTTTTTTTTTTTTAAATTATAGGAGTTGCTTTATGCCCAAATAACAATGAAGTTCACATCTATGCCAAACAAGGTACCTCATGGGTTGTCGAACATGTTTTAGCTGAAGTAAATATCATATTATTTTTATTATTATAAAATATATTGCAATGAAACCATCAATTAGATATTAACAAAATTTTTTTTTTTTTTTTTTTTTAAAATAAATAAAATTATATTTTTATTATATATTATAGCACGATCAAGTTGTTACTTCAATTGATTGGGCACCAAAAACTAATCGTATTTTAACTTCATCACAAGATCGTAATGCTTACGTTTGGACTTTTAAAGATGGTCAATGGAAACCAGTTTTAGTTTTACTCCGTATTAACAGAGCTGCTACTCATGTTAAATGGTCACCACAAGAAAACAAATTTGCCGTTGCAAACTGGTGCTAAATTAGTATGTATTTGTTTCTTCCGAAGAAGAACACGACTGGTGGGCTTCAAATCACATCAAGAAACACAAATCAACTGTATTAAAGGTTGACTGGCATCCAAACAATTTATTATTAGCCACTTCATCAAGTGATTACAAAGTTAGAGTTTTTGATGCTTACGTCAAAAAAGCTGATGGTCGTAATGTTACTCGTCCATACGGTGAAGTTCCATTCGGCGAACCAATTTTCGAATTTGACCAATGTGCCAGTTGGGTCCATGCTCTTAAATGGTCACCATCAGGTTCATCATTAGCTTTCTCATCACATGACAGTACTTTTGCTGTTGCCAACTTTGCCACCAATCCACCAACTGTCGAAAAAGTTAGATTACGTGGTTTACCATTAAGAGATCTTCTTTACATCACTGAAAATTCAATTGCTGGTGTTGGTTACGATTGTGCTCCAATTTTAATCACTAACCAAAATGGTTGGAAATACTCTGATGAAATGGATAAAGGTTCAGATAATGCTGGTGCTGCTGAAGCTACCTCAGCTCGTAAACTTTTCCAAAATAAAGTTGATCTTGGTGAATCTAAATCAAGTGATAAAAAACTTACAACTGTTCATCAAAATTGTGTTACGTAAGTAGACCGTATATACATAGTAGATATTATAGATAATTAGTATAGGTTATTAACTTTATCATTACCTTTCTTTTTTAATTAATTTTTAGTACTATCGTTCCATTCAAGAGTGTTGGTGGTGTTGTTTCAGACTTCTCAACTAGTGGTTTAGATGGTAATATCGTCATCTGGCACGTTAAAGCCCTTGAAGCCAAAAACAAATTCAAGGTTATTTAAACAATTTATATAATATAATTAAAGAAAAAAAACTTCAAAAAAAATCAAAAAAAAAAAAAAAAATAGTAATATTCAAAAAATAAATCATATAGCAAAGATAATCTTAGTTGTTGATTAAAAAAAACTAATAAACAATATTTATTTAAAAATAAACAGTACATTAATTACAAAATATTTTTTTTTATTTTTATTTTTATTTATTTTTTATTTTTATTTTTATTTTTTAGTAAAAACAAAAGTGTTAAAACGAAATAAAATTTACAACTTTTTTTTTTAAAAGATATCTATTAAAAAAATAATTATTTAAAATTATAAAAATAAATAAAAAAATAAATTATTTAATTCTATTTTACAAAAATGGAAAAAATAAAAAATAAATTAAAAAAATAAAAAAATAAAATAAAAATAAAAAATAAAAAAATTTATAAAAATATAAAATTTAAATTTAATTATATAAAATAAATGTTTTAAGATATAAAATAAATTTTAAAAAAAGATTTAGAATGTTTATCTTTTAAGATCTTTAAAGCTTTGATGAAATAAAATATTTTATTTTTTTTCAAACTCTATTTTGTAAATTTAAAATCTTGCAAACAATAATATAATTAAAATATATTATTTACATAGAAACTAAAATTTTATGTATACACCATTTTAATTTTTTTTTTTATTTACTATTTTTTATTATAAATATAGAAAATAAAATGGACGATGAAATAAGAGTTGGATTCCAAGGTACTATTTTTCCTCCTTTATCAAATTCGAACCGAGATGAAAGAGAGGAAACAAGATTTACAAGAAAGTTGGAAATAATAGTTCATTATTTTATGGTTCTTTTATTAATAATTAGTTTGTATACCCTAAAAATAAAAAAATAATATTTTTTTATATTAATTTCTTTTTTTTAATTTTAGTTATAGGTTTCTATGTATTTTTTATAACCACAATAGTTTTAGAAAAATATACCTCAAACTCTATTAATTTTCATTTTATTTTCCCCTATGAAAAAGATTTTGAAAGAAACAAGTTTTTATATAAAAAAGCAGAATGCTTAACTATTTGTAACTTAAAAGAAGACCCATTTGTATGTATAAATTATTTTTTAAAATTTTTTATTTTTAATTATTAATTATTTTTTTCACTATTTAATAATAAAGGAAATTTTGCTTTCATTAAATAAAAAATCTAAAATAAAAACCTATAAACCTGTAATTATAGAAGGTTATACTGGTTCAGAATTAAGTTGTATAACAACAGCTAAAAAGAAAGGAAATTTCCCTCCAGGTAAATATTGTTTTAAAATTTTAAAATTTTATTTTTTTATATTAATAACTGTTTTTTATTTTTTTAAATATAGAAATTGTAGATAAATTCAAATTGGATAAATTAACCGATAGAAGAATTAAAATAAACAAATTAGCAAGTGTTGGAAGAAAAGAAAATGATAAGGGTAGTTCAATTACCCATTCAAGTATTTCAATATTTACACACAGATTTAGGGAGGGTATGGATATAGATAATATCATGCACCACTCTTTAAATATAAATTATAATAGTACCGAGTCACACATAGTTTTAAAGAAATATAATGAAAATTCTTTTGTGTTGGCTCTAAAAGATAATGGTGACAAGGAAGAAGAGATTTTAATAGACAGTTTATACTCAGTACTAAATGGAAATCAATATAATTATATATAAGAAGTTTATTGTTATTTAAATTAAATAATAAAAATATGTTATAATATATAAATTTGTACAAAGAAATTATTTTTTTTATTTTATTTTATTATATTTTAAATCTACAATAATTGGTGGTGCTGTAAGCTTTTTTTTTTTTTTTTTTTTTTTTTTTTAATGATTATTTATAACTTTTAAAATTAAAGCAGAGTCTTCAAAAATATAAGATTTTTTAAAAATATCTTTTTGTGATGTTGTTGATAAAGTATCGTCAATATTTTCTACTGTTTTAATGTCACCATTGTTATTATTATCATTGAAACTGAATTCTAAAAGATTTGGTGTGTTCTTCTTGTATGAAATACGTTCTATTGAGTTTAAGCTATATTGGAAATCGATTTTAACATACCCACAAAAAGTTGGATGCTCTGCTAGAACAATAACATTTTTGTCTTTAATAATAATGTATCTCTTCTTGTCATCTTGAGCGAGATTTGATTTGTTTTTAGCTGTGGCAGTTGAGGCTATATCACTCTGGGTGCCGACATCAGATAGGATTGGTTCCTCGATTGATGGATTTGGTTGGATAGCTTCTTGACATTCAAATAATGAACACTTGCATTCTAACCATAAATCAATACCTTTATATTCTTTTTCAAATTCTTTTTTGGCTTCAATGTTCTCTTTTTCATATTTTTCTTTATCAATGAGATAGTCAGATTCGTTTGGTGTTGGAAAATCATTTTCGTCAATATAGTAATAGTATTTCTTTCCTTTTTCATAGTATTCATCTTCATCATCTTTAAAGTCCATAATAAATGGTGCTAAATTTGGTAAATAAAATGGGTTCTTTGATGTGCTCCATATTGATGAAATTAAATTTGATTGGCTTGTGGTTAATGGGCTTGAGCTTGACCAACTTTGCTTACTTGATGTTAATGGACTTGTACTAGATGCATCATTGATATTGCTATTGTTTGTTGATTGACTTGATGTTAATGGGCTTGAGCTTGTCCAACCTTGTTTACTTGATGTTAATGGGCTTGTACCAGAGACGCTAGTATTTAAAGTTGAGCTATTCATATTATTCATATTATTATTCATATTATTATTCATATTATTATCATTATTATTACTATTATCATTATTGGTTTTTATATTATTATTTTGGGAAAGATTTATATTATTTCCATTTATATCCAATGTTGAAATATTATTACCATTAAAATCTAAACTGTTTTGATTAGTTGGGTTTGGAGATGCTGATAAATTACTAATATTTAATGGACTGTTAATAACACCAATGTTATTATTAGTAATATCACTATTGTTCCTTGAACCACTTTGGTTTAATGGTGCGCTTAATATTTTTGAATTTCCACCAGTCTTGGTTGGTGTTCTATTTGAACCAATTGTTAAATTCTCTGATCTTGCTCTTTGGGATCCATTATTGCTTGTGGGTGAGTTGTTGGTGGTTGTATCGGTTTTATCATTGCTATTATCATTATTTTTGAAACTATTGTTATCATTAGGTTTATTAGTATTGTTATTTATTGAGCTCGAATCATTTTCGTATATGGATGATTTATCTCTAATTTTTAATTTATCTCTAAAAAATCCAAGGGCTGTTTTTCTTAAAGAGTCACTTTCTGGTTGCTGTGGTTGTTGTGGTTGCTGTGGTAATGGTTGCATTTGTTGTGATTGTCTACCGAATCCTCTTAATTTTGAAAACCACTTTTCTCTTTGAGTTTGTTCAGTATTTGGGAGTGGTGATGATGGCTCTGAGACTGGTAATGTATTATTAAATGCAGCTGGATTACAAACTGGGCATTTATCAGTAAAATGAGCTGGTAGTTCGATACCTTTTGATAAGAAAATATCATGAATTTCTAACAATTTAAAAAAAAAAAATATTAATAAAAATAATTTTAAAAAATAATAAATAATATGATATAGATACTTTACTTTTATAACCACTGGGTACTTTACAAATATATGGGAAGCCCTCTTTAAGAAATTTTAAAATATTCATATTTACATCACCATTATCGTTCGAGTCAGCATCATCGTTTGCTGAGTTTGGATTTTGGAATTGTTGCCAATTATCATAAAATGCAAAATGGGTAACGCCCTTCATATCAATGAATGACTGTATAACTCTTTGGAATTCTTCTGGCTGTGTTACTAGCTGCATAATAATAGTTATAATAAAGGGAGTAAATATTTATTGCATATTTAAAAATTTAAACATGAATACATACCAAACCTGGTGGTAAATGGAATGACTCAGGGAATTTTCCACTTTTATAGTATCTATATGGTCTAGAATCAAAAACAAATAATGGTAACTTTTGTAAATCATCATTTTGACAATAGTATGCAAATTTTTCCCATATTTCCTATTAAAATTTTTTTAAGAATTAGTATATAAATTCAAATATTACAAGTCTTATTAATATAGCTTACATGTTCTTTTCCCAACTTTGAATTTAAAATTAACTCCTCGACCTCCATACCCATGCAAACAGCATATTTATATTCAAAGTAAATGGTTTTAATTGATTCTAATTTTGGTGAGAGTGGATCTTTACAGTAAGTATAAAATCTATCCCAATTTCTAATAAATGTAAGTGGAGTTGATGATCTTAATGCCTCTGCTTTCTTTATAAGTCCTGGTAATTTAAGTTGATTCGATAAACTATTTACAATATTTTTCTCTTCTAATAACTGCATGATTTCTTTAGCTGTACCATTAATTGATAATATTTGCTCTCTTTTAGATATAATCAAGGCAGCAGCAAAATAGATATAAAAATCTTGATTATCATGATACAAAAACAAATCCCAAAGTTGAACTAAAAATTTAATATCTATACATCCACAAAACAAATGATTGATCTAAAAAAAAAAATTAATAAATATTCTAAATTACTATAAATAAAATATGATGTATTAATTACCCATTCATAAAAGTAATGCATCGAACTAACGGTTCTTTGGTTTAAAAAGTGTGATAATACTGGGTCATGATATAAAAGTAGAATTCTGAACATTTCACTTTCGCACCTAAAATATCAAAAAAAATAAAATTTATTAATAAATAAAAAAGTTTATTTATTTATTAATCTATCTATAAATACATACAATAAAATTGGATTGGCAATATCATATTGAAAAACACCGCTATTCGATAAAGTTTCGACTACTTTGATTGAAAGAGACATCCAATTTTGTTCGGTTGGGTTTTGATATAATATAGATTTAGTATTTTTGATAAAATTAATTTCTTCAACAATTGATAAAACCACGAAAGGAATCATTAACTTTACTACATCGATACTATAGCCCCTAGTTGTTTTGTTACAAAAATAAATTACAAATCTTGAAAGTCTATCGCCAATGGAAACTGTGGTCAATGTTGATAGTGTTGCTTTTTCAACACTTGCAGAGAGTGGGTTTACATTCTCTGATGCTTCAGAGGAGTTGGATGTTGCTTGATTCGTATCATTGTCCATATTTTTAAAACTATCAAATGAATATGTTGATGAGTTGTTATTAAATGATTTTATTTGCGAAATTAAATTATAATCTTGTGAAACTTGTAAACAATCACTTTGTAACATTTCTAAACTAATATCTGCTATTGATTTATATTGTGGTGATGCTGATTTGTTTTCATTTTCAAAATCTTGATCACCCTGTTGCACTATATGCTAGAATTTATAAAACATAAAAATTATTAGTTACAACTTTAAAGAAACATGTATGTTTATATTATATTTACCTTCCAAATTGAATATCTTAAATTGTTTGGTGTAGAATTTTCGCATAGTTCTCTAATCTGTTTTTTCGATAATGACCAATCGTCATAACTATAGAAATCTTCCTTTGATCTTTCTAGTATATTCTTGACTAGCGACTCTATAACTTGTTCTCTGCTTTCATTCATTTTCTTTATTTTTATTTTTATTTTTTCTTAAGTTATATCATATCTTAACAGAGTAATAGATATAATATAAAAAAATTTAAATCTTTTTATGATGTGTTATTATTGCTATTTTTTATAATTTTTATTTTTTTGTATTTTCAAATTATTTTTGTTTTTTTTAATTTTTTTAAAAATTTTTTAAAAAATTTCTTGAATTACTTGAATTATTAGTTTTTTATTATTATAAAAAATATAGTTTTGTTTTATTATTTATTATTTAAATGAGGTGGATTGCTTTATTATGTTTTATAAGAGTGGATAAAAATAATAATGATAAAAATAATAATGATAAAAATAATAATGATAAAAATAATAATGATAAAAATAAAAAAAGATTATGTTTTACAATTCAACAAAAATAAAATTAATAAGTAAAAATAAAAATTAAAATTTAAAAAATAAAAAAAAAAATAAAAAAAAATAAAAATTTAAAAAAAATCCAAATATATTGTGGGTCAATGAATATTATAATATTTTTCCTTAATTGTTTTTTTTTTTTAATATTTAGACACATAAACTCTATCTATAAAATAAAATGGTTTTTTTTTTTTTTTTTTTTGATATACTTCTTTTAATTAATAAACAAATGATTGATTTTATGTTTTAAATATTTTTTTTTTTGTTTCTATTTTATTTTTACTTTATTTATACCATATTTCTTTTAAGATAAAATTGATTTATTTGAACTATTTTGGTGTATTAATATTAAGGTTGTTGAAATAATAATTGGTAAAATTATAATAAATTTTAATAATCTATAAAAGTAATGGTTAAATGAGATTATGATAGAATCGTGATATGATTGACCATTTGAGTTTACCATCTCTACTCTAAGTGAATTAGGATCAGTTCTGCTGAGTGCGGATGGTATTGTAATTGAAACTTGTTTTATACCAGTTGTAAAGTAAACATCCCTAAATAGCCTAATTTGACCAAAGTAAATTGAAACTGTATATTTAATATTCTTTGCGTTGTTAACAACCAAGCCCTTTTGATCCATAATTAAAAATTCTAAATTTAATTCGCTACCTGTTATATCACGTAAATTTCTATATGATGGTAAAATCATAACACCTGTTGGTGCTTCTCTGGAATATGATGTAAATGAATTACCATTTGGATTATATGCCTCCACTGATTTCCTTGATGAATATGGTACACCATTAACATTTAAACAATACATTTTGTGATCATAGGTTGATAATAATAGATTTAAATTACCATCGCCTGTTAAATCACTTGATAAAATTTTTGTAATCCTTTAAAAAATAAAATGATATGGAAATTAGTACATAAATCAACTGAATGTTAAAATAAAACAATAAATGATACATACGAAAAATCACCAATATCAATTCTATTTACACATCTATCTTTTCCATTGATAGAATAAACCATACCATCATCAGCATGTACAAATATTGTCATACCTCCATTTGAATTATCGGTATCCAATAATAATAATGGTGAAATAATTGATGATTCAAATTTGATTGGGAAGCCTTCTAGTGATTTACCGGTCATACCGTTCCATGCAAAAATACCTGCATTGAATGTTGATAAAACTACATCTAAAATACCATCGCCATCAATATCACCAATAGAAGCAGGCTTTATTTATTTTTATATAAAATTTAGATTAGTGTTTATTTATATTATCTGTGTTGTTATTTAAACTACTTACAAATTCTGATTTACCCGATGAAACTTTATTGTCCCAAATTTGATCACCATTGTATGAGAAACAAACAATATTACCATTATTATCAAATACAATTAACTCTAATTTACCATCAGCATTTAAATCTTCGGTTACAATTTGAGTAAATACAGAGTCCAATACTAATGGATAATTTCCCTCCCATGGATTACCTAAATGATTTAAAACATAAACAAATCCTAATGCTGTGCCAATAATAATCTCCAACTTACCATCCCCATCCAAGTCTACAACTGTAGGTGATCCATATATTGATCCTTTAAATGCAGTTTTATCAGTTGTTAAATCTAAATCTATAATAATGGTAAAAATAAAAAAAATTAGTATTTAGTTTTATTCTGTTTTTCATTTTTTTTTTTTTGAAACTTACGGGTTTGCCATTTAATATCACCTGTTGATAGATCAAATACTGTAATACCGCCGGCAATATAATTCTCTATTAAAATATCAGATTCTAATTTTGATCTATAAATTGGATTAGCATATTTCTCTTGATCATAGTAATAGCTAACTGAAACTATTAACTCTTTAATACCATCATCATCGATATCTGCAATAACTGGTGTTGCTAAAACGTGGCTATCTACCCAAGTATAAGAGTCATCTTTTCTCGAGAACCATTTATTTTGATTTAACCATTTGTCATAGGCCAATGAGTATAATGGATCGTACTCATCATCCTTTCCTTGTTCTAATACAGTTAATTTTTGTTGTTGTTGCTGTTGTTGATCTTCTTTTTTATTAGCCTCTTCGTTTTGTCTTTGAAGTTCGATTTGTTTTTGAATGGCAAATTTTTTATTATCTTTGTTGTAGAGTGAAAAAGCAGCATCAACATGGTTACCACCAATGCCCTCATGCCAAAGTTTTTTAATTTTTAATGGTGGTACCTTCAATGACTTTTCACGAATAGCCATACCATTGGAAGAGATGAAAACCATTTCTGCATCGGTTGTTGTTACCATAATATCTAATGATTGATCACCATCAATGTCGTATAAAAGTGGGCTTGATGCAAATGATGAATCTGGTATAATAAATGGCCACCCTATTAATCTATCACCATCTCTACCATTGATAACATCAATATATGTGTGTGAATTTGCTACTACAATATATTTATCACCTGTTAATTGACCATTATCACTAACTGATAGTTGATCAGTGATCAATGGTGTATTGGGAATCGTTGATGCCAATACTGTTTCCCATACCACATCCAAATCAACCTTTTGGCACTTCTCATTACCAACATTTAGTTCTTTAACAAGCCCATTCTCTATAGTCTTCCCAAACAATATATCCTCTAATTTAATTGGTTCTCTATTTCTATACTCGTTATCTAATAATGCTATATCCCCTTTTTCTCCTTTGAATTCGATACTATATATTATTTTAAAATTTATTAAAACTATAAAAATTCTAATTAAATTTTTGTAAATACTATTATTATTATACATTTTATTATTAAGGTTATTAGGATAATTTTATAAATAATATTTTCATATTAAATTTTTTTTAATAAACAAGAAATGAATTTTTTAAAAAAATATAAATTTTTTTTTTTTTTTAATTTTAAAAATTTTAAAAATTTTTAAATTTTTTATTTATCATCAAATAAAAAAAAAAAAATATATGAGGGGGTAGTTTGAAATAAAATAATTTTATTTATATAAAAAGAAAAATTTTCATTATTTATGTTTTATAGTTTTAAAGATATTTTGGAAAAAAATAAATTTTTAAAATTTAAAAAAAAAACTCCCATAACCCATATTCATATGGTTTTTATTCAAAAAAAAATTTCATTCATATTAAAAGTTTTGAGATTGTGGTGTTTTTGTTGGTGACACAGTAATTTATACTGTTGAACCTTAAGAGGCACCCAATACTAAACCCCATTCTGCCTCTACGACTCGATATAGATTTTTCATGAAACGTCGAGTTACCGAGTGCTAGGAACAAACATTTTGCAATAAAATAATAAACAAAATAAAAAAATATAGTATATCTTTATAATATTTAATAAAGCTTTATTAAATCTATTTAGATATTGAATAATTTATTTATTTGTTTTGTTTATTATTCTAAAAAACTCCTTAAAAAAAAAAAATAATTTTAGTTTTGATGTTTTTTATTTGTTTAAAATAATAGCTCAATCAAATAATTGATGGCCAGTGGTGCTTTGTGTTGTGGTTATTCAGAAAAGTTTTCGTAAAAATTTTTTTGTTTTTTTTTAATTTTTTTTTTTTTTCTGTTTTTACAACTTTCTAATAAATAAATTTTTTTTTTTTTTTTATAAATATAAATAAAAAAATGAAATATTTAATAATTGTTTTATTAGCTATATTAGCATTTTTATCAATCACTGGTAAGGTTTCAGCCTCAGAAAATTTTGATCAAGAAAATAATTGTAATTTTTGCGAGTAAGCAAAATTTAAAAAAAAAGTGCTTAAAAATAATAAAAAATAAATTAACCAAAATTTCTTAAAAAAAAAAAAAAGGTTTATAGTTGAATATATAGAAGATTATGTAAAAGAAAATCAAACAGAAGCAGAGATAAAAGAAGAAATAGAGGAGGTTTGTTTAATTTTACCAGACAGCTTACAGGAACCATGTAAAATTTTAATATCAAATAATATTGGCAAGATTATCCACATGCTTGTAAATGATGCATCACCAAGAGATATATGTAATTTCTTTAAATTTTGCTCCCCAACCCCACCACCCTCACAACCAAAACAACAACACACCATTAAAGGAAAAAGTACAATTGAATGCAATGTTTGTGAATATATTGTTTCAAATGTTTATAGATATATCACCTTAAATAGTACAGAAGCACAGATTATAAATGCACTTGAAAACGATTGTAGTCTATTGGGAGGTAATTTAGCAATAACTTGTCAAGGCTTGGTTAATGAATATATTCCAATGATTATAAATTTAATCGAAAATAATGAAGATCCTTCAACAATTTGTGGTCAAATTAAACTTTGTGCAATTTCAAACAATAGTAATATCAAAATAATGATATAGTTTATAAAAAATATAATAAAAAACAGTCTCAATTATAGATATTTGTAATTTTAGAAATAAAACAAAACAAAATAAAATATAAAATTAAAAAAAAAAAAATATTTATTTTTACCTTATTGGGTTTCTAAAAATGGGAATTTACAGGTATATTGGGTTTGGTATAAATCTATTAGATTTTGGATATGTTCTAAAAGACTTTTACGCTTTCCTTCTTCAAATTGAAATTCCAATTGCTGTTGATATTGAAGTTGTTCAAATTGTTGTTCAATCGATTCGAATTGATTATCAATTATATTTTCATTTTTTTCAAGCTGATTTTCAAGCTGATACTCAAACTGATACTCAAACTGTTCTGTTTCTGATAGTGATGGAGATGATGGCGATGATGGTGATGGTGGTGATGGTGATGGTGATTGTTGTTCTGAAATTAGCATTTCAATTTGTTGTGTTTCGATAGGCTGGGATGATTTATTATTGGGATCTATTTTTAAGTAACCTAATTAAAATTGATATTAGTATTAATTGTAAAATAAATATATTTAATTAAAATTTAATTACCATTGTATCTATTACAACATTGGGCTTTATCCCTACCACTAGTCATTTTTGAAGAGATAAATTCCCAGTCATATGGACCAAATTCTTGGACCAAGTTTAAGAGCTGAGCATCTTCGTCATCTGTTTTTTTAAAATAAAGTTTTTGTTAGTAAAAGATACCCTATAAAAAAATATTTATAAAATGATAATTACTATCCCATTTTCTAAAATATTTAACATCGGCATCTGGGTATAAATATTTGTATCTATTATAACATTTAATTGAATTTTTTTTTGAATTTAAAAGAAGAGCAATTTTTTTCCAATTTTCTGAACCATTTTCATTGACTAATCTCCTTAATTTATCATCCTCATCAGAATTCCAGTCACCAAATTTACGAGAATCATTTTCTCCAATTAATTGAACATATGATTTACCATTTGAGTTTTTCTTTATATATTGATTATAACGAGAACGGCATTGGTTTCTATCTCTATTGAATGGTAACATTTTTATAGCAATTTCATCCCAATATTTTGGTCCATTTTTTTTTACTAAATCATATAATTTTTGATCCTCTTCAGGTTTCCATGCTTTACGTTTACTAATCCTTCTTTTATGTTTTGTTGCAGTTTTAGATATTTTTGGTGAGTTTAGATTAGGGTTGGTATTTGGGTCTAAGTTTGAAACTGGCTCCAGGTATAAGTTTGAAACTGGCTCCAAGTATGAGTTTGAAACTGAAACTGAATTTAATTCCATATCCAAATATAGAGACAATAGCTGTGAATCCTCTGTATATGTTGGACTGTCATCAGATAAATACAACTCATTATCAAGGCTATAGCTTTCAAGTAGGGCAACATCATATTTGGTATTATGGTCAAAGATGTTATAAATAGGGGTAGTTGGTTCCATTTTGATAAATAAGTTATTTCTAATATTTAAAAAATTAGTGTTAATATTTTTTTTATATCTATTTGTATTTAATATTTGTATATTACCTTTTCTATATTTTATTTGTTTGTTTGTTTTAATAATTAAAAAAAAATTCACTACATGGTTTATTTATATTGAATTTTTTTGTGAGTAAATTCCTCAATGTCAGTCTTAATATCTTTAAAAAATTGTCAGTAATTATATCTTCAAAAAAAATTTAAAAATTTTAAAAAAAAAAATTTTTTAAAAAAAAAAAAATAACAAATAAATCAATAAATTAATAAATCAATAAATCAATAAATAAATTATAGTTTGTTTATATTTTATAAAACACAGGTTTTTTTTTTTTTATTTTAAAATTTTTTATATTATTTTTTTTATAATTTTGATTTTTGCATAATTGAACCTAATTTAGTGGCTAAACCCATATTACCTTGAATCTTTAACTTACCTTTCATGAATGCACTTTGGGCATTTAATTTACCAGTCATAATTTGAGTGAAATCATCATCTGAAACAGCGATGGTGACATTTGGTTTACCTTTTGATTCTGAACCAACTGAAATAGAACCACTACCATTCTTTAAATCTAAAACCCATGATTGAACTTTACTACCATTTTTAACATTGAATAAATATACACCATTAATTTTCTTTACTAAATCAGCACCATTTGATTGGATGGTTTTTTGGATGGTTTGGAAAACCTTTGATGATTCGAAACCATCAACAACAACTGAGGCGCTTGGGGCAGCAGCAGCAGCAGCTGGAGCAGCTGGTTTTGGTGGTCTAACAAGTGGTGAGGCACCAGTTTCGGAGGCTTTGTTGTTAACAGCAGCTAAAATACCACTAACACTTTCTGAAGCTGAAGTTGGGTATGATGGATTATCGAATGATTCAACTTTACCCCAGTTATCTTTAAGTTTTTCAGCTGATAAGTTTTTGTCATAGAAACCAGCTGAACGTTCTAAACGAACTTTGCTGACCCAACCAGCACCAACTTCGAATACACTACCTGATTCAGTGGTATCTTCGTGACAAAGATATAAAACTAATGGAACAATGTAGTCTGGTTTTAATTGATCTAAGATTTCTGGTGGCATAACGCTTTCAGTTAAACGTGAAGCAGCAATTGGAGCAATTGTATTACATGTAATGTTTTTAGTTTTACCTTCTTGAGCAAGAGTATTTGATAAACCAACTAAAGCCATTTTCATTGAACCATAATTACTTTGACCAAAGTTACCATATAAACCTAAATAGTTTTAATTAATTGATTATTAAAGAGAATTAAAATTAGTTATCTGGAGCTGTGCTAAAATTAGAATTGAAATAATCTATATCCAAATAAAATTTTATCCCTCAATGCTACATGTGTATTTGTTTGTTTGTTTTTTTAATGAAGTTATATTAAATTACTTACCAGCAGCACTACTAGTCATAATAATACGACCAAATGATTTTTCTCTCATATGGTTCCAAGCAGCTCTTGATAATTTATAGGCACCTTTAGCATGAACACGATAGATAAGATCCCAATCGTTATCTGACATTTTACCAAAACTGACATCACGAAGAATACCAGCATTGTTAATTAAAATATCAATACGACCAAAATTGTCAAGAGCAGTTTGAACGATCTTTTCACCATCTTCAACAGAGTCATAATTTGGAACAGCAACACCACCAGCAGCTTTAATTTCATCGACAACTTTATCAGCAGCTTTTGATGATGCACCTTGACCAGTGTGTGAACCACCAAGATCATTAACAACAACTTTGGCACCACGTTTGGCAAACTCTAAAGCATAAACTCTACCAATACCACCACCAGCACCAGTAACAATAACAACTCTATCTTTAAACATTAACATTTTTCCAAACTATTATTATATATAAATTATAAAATGAAATTAATAAATTATTTTTTTAATATTTAAAAAAATAATGGTTTAAAATGAACAAAAAAAAAAATAAAAATTTGTGTGTGAATTTTTTTTTAAGGTGAACAAAAAAAAAAAAAAAAAAAAAAAAAAAAAAAAGAGATGAAAGGGGTGGACAATGTGTTTGTGTATTTGTGTGTGTAAAAATTAATAAAAAATAAAAAAATTAAAACTTATTGGAACTTATAAAAAGTTGTTACACATTATTTATTTTATAATATAAAAAATAAATATATATATACTAATAATTGATCTAATGTGTATAATGAAGAAGAATAAAATAGATGCAGTAATACATACAAAATTTAAATATGTATTTATTATAAAAGTAATAATAAAAATTTATATAAAAGATAAAAAAAATTAATTTTTTATTTTTTAATTTTTTTTCAAAAATTTTTTTAATTTTTTTTTTAATTTTTTTTTTAAATTGAATGATAAAAGGCACGAAACGCAATATCCTTCCATAAAAGGTCACTCATTGTACATTTACATTTCATATTTGTAAATTTCATATTGAGTGTTTTTATTAAAATATAGAATAAAAAATATTAAAATAAAATAAGTTTTAAAATATTACTTTTATTTTATTTTATTTAATTTTTTTTTTTTTTGATAATAATAATTTTTAAAAAGAGTTAATCAAAAAAAAAAAAATTATAGTGTGTTAATTTAATATTAATAAAAATTTTTTTTTTATATAAATATAACGCAATAATGATTGTTTCTTAATAAAATTTTAATATAAATACAAATACCACTCACTCTCACCCATTTTTATTAAAAATACCCCTAATTTTTTTTTTACTTTATAGAGATTTTAATTAATAGTAAAAATACCATGATCGACTACAATAATATATGAGGGATGAAATCAATGAGAGAATTTTTTTTTTATATGTAATGGGGATTAAAGAAAGATTTAACACCATATTCAATTAATTTTTTTTATTTTTTTAAATTTTGTATAATCAAATAAGTTTAAATATATTAATTATAATTTATTTATTATTTAATTTATTATTTTATTAAATTTTCAAAAATTGCAAATGAATTTTTTTTTTAAATTGTTTTTTATTTGGTAATTTTTTTATTATTAATAACTCAATCATTCAAAACAATATGACAATTATAAGTAAGATCCAAATAAAAATAGATTTTGTTGTTTTTATAAAAATACTATTAATGTTGTTATTTTATAATATTAATAATTTTTTATTGTTTTTTTTATATAGAATCAATAATTTCATTTAATACAATTAGTGGTTTTAAAGATTATTCTAATAACTCTATTAATGAATCGAAAGAGATGGAAAGATCTTTTGATTGTAATGGTATCTTTGAAAAAAAATTATATCTTAGAGTTATGTCCTACTTCAAGCTTGGTGGAATTTCTCATGTTAAAGATTATTATAGAGATAAATAACTATTTTAATTTCAAAGATTCACTGTACTGTATAATATAATGATAATAAAAATAGTAATATAATTAAACATTTAAAAGAAATAAATAAAGATATAGTATATATATTTGAATAATTTTATATATAAAAAACACCTTTTTTTATTAATATTAGTATCAAAATCCTATTTCATCACCATCATATCATTACTTTCCCCTATCACATATATATTTTAATTAATATTACCATTACTATTATAGTGTTATTGTTGTTGTTTATATATAAACAATTAAAAATAGTTTATAGATATACATGTTTCTCACACACTATCATATACACTCACATCTCACACTCTTAATAAATACACTTTTACTATATTAATATTATACAAATATTTATAAAGAAATGAGTTTAAATAGAAAAAGGGGTGTTGGGTGGTATATTTTTGAATAAGTGTTAAAAGTGGGTGTGTTAAAAAAAAAAAAAAAAAGCAAAAAACAAAATTTCATTAGGGAATAGTTATTTTATTAATTATAAAACAATAATAAATTTTATTTTTTAACTATATTTTTATATTTATATCATTGTATTGTTATAGAATTCAATACCAAAATAAATTTGTATCAATACAGGCAGCAAGCTACCAATATTATCAAATAGTTTTATTGATGATCAAATTAAAACAAATGAATACATATATGTTTTATTATTATAATAAATTATGTATATATTATCGCTGTTTATTTAAATTATCATTTATTTAGAAATGAAATCAATAACAATAAAAAATAAATATTTTCCCTAAATAAATAAAACTGTTTTTTTTTTTTACTTTTTTTTTTTTTTATTAAATTCGATATGTATTAATTGAATTTAAAAACCAAACAAAATTTGTATACTAGAATGATATAATTATTATTATTTTTTGAATTTATATAAAAGGTAAATTTTTATCAATCATTTCAAAAAATAATATTGAATAGTATCAGTTAGCAGATTTGTGTAATGGTATGTTAACAAAAATAATAGTAATTATATTTATATTTATATTATCTATAAAAGGTTATTTTTTTATTTTAAATTGTTTTTTATTTTAATTTATTTTTAATTTTTTTTTTTTTTTGAAATTATATTAATAGCTTTGAATACACTTAATAGTTTTTTTCTTTTATTTTAAATTATTATAAATCTAAATATTAATAAAAATGATAATAGGTATGAATACAATCATTATATAAATAAAGTTAAAAAATTATTTTACTAATTTTCTTTGTATTATAGATATAGTATCAAACCTAACAAATAATAGTATTTCTACAAAAACTATATATACACAAAATACAATTGGGTGCATCAACGATAAAAATAGGGTTTCAGACAAACTACTCACTGTGATAATGTACAGAGAACCTAAAATTAGATATGTTAAAAGTATATTTTCAAAGGATCCCGGGACACCAACAGATACATTATATTATATATAAATAAAACAATAGTAAATAAATAGAAAAAAAGATAAATAAACAAATAAATAAATATATATTTTTTTTAAAAATTTTATTATTTTTTATTTTTTTTTTTAAACTTTCTTTTTTTTTTTTTTTTCACTACCAATTTATAATGACCATTCTTTTAAAAGGTTATTAGAGTTTTGATTTAATTTAAATGATTTGATTAATTTACCGCCGAGCATTTGAATTTCATTTAAAATTTCAAAGATATTTGGAATAACCAAGTTTGAATCTTTTGAAATTGGTGTTACATATTTTGATTTTGATGGTTTAAATGGAACTGGAAGAAAAGCTTGTGATTTCCATTTCAAAGTAATTTTATTTCCACCAACTAAATCATATTGGAATATGCAATATTCTGAAAATTTATCTTTTAATTGATTAATTAATTCTACAACTGGATTGAAACCTGGTTTAAAATCTTTATATATTAAATTATTATTATTACCATTATTTAATTGGTTTGAATCATTATTATTATTATTATTGTTATTGTTATCTGATTTTTTAATAATATTTTTAAAAACTGGTTTCTTTGAAGTTGATGTATTTGAAATATTGTTATTGTTATTATTTGTACCATTACTATTTGTATTTAAATATGATAATAAATTAAATTTCTTATTATTGATAATATTTAAAATTTCTTTTGAATGATTTGGTATTAATTGTTCATTTAAATTAAAGATTGCATCAAAGTCGAATAATGATGGTTCAAAGATTGATAACCAATTGAATGTTTGATTTGTAAAGTTATCTTCAATTAATTCAATTGATTTTTGAGCTAATAATTTAATTTTTGACCATTGATCTTGATCTCTGATGGTTGTATGTCTAAACCATTGATTATTACGATCTTTATCGGTTGCAAAATAAATAATTGGTGGATTATTGGATTGTTTTTGAAGAGCAAACATATTTTTAATTTCTTGAATAGTTGATTCTTTGATACTGTTGTTAAAATCGATAATTAATGGTTGTTCTTCAAAGTTGTAGGTGTAGAGGAGGAATAAAAATCTAAGGAAGCCCATTAGTGGTGTTTTTGGTACATTGGTTGAATCCATTGATCCGTCGTCTCTTTCGATTCCTTTATATAAACTACCGACTAAGAGTTCAACGGATTGTTGGTCGATGAAATCGCTAAAGAGATGAGAATGAATCCAACGTAATGCAATACGTGTAGTTGGTCCGTATGATGAATAGGTGGTGTGAAGTGATTGGATAAAAGTGTGATGAATTGAATTTCTTTGTAATGATTCTAACTCTGGTAATCCCTCTACTTTCCATTGTTCACGCATAAACTCCATTTCTTTTGGATAGTAGCTAATTAAACGGAAAACAAATCCATCAACTTGTAAGTCTAAATACTTTTCGGTTAAACGAGGTCTAAAGATTGTGTTTTCTAATTCACGGGCCATCTTTAAGAGGAAAGCTGTTTTGAGTGCGTTGATGCTGTCTACATCTTTGGTCCATTGTTGGCTAGTTTGGAAGTGTAATAAGATTTGAATTGGTTCATTTTCGAGGTAGTTTTCATCGAATGATGTTAAAACATCAGTATAACGGAGTGCTGGACTGATTGGAGAGAATGCTTCGATACCCAATGGTAAACCTAATTGACCAATAACATGAATTAATTTTTCTTTAGCAGCAATGACATTTAAAGTTTGATCTTGAACCTTTTCGCCAATAATAAGTGAATCTAATTCAGAGACAATGGTTGAAACTCTAGTGACTGGGATCTTTAAGTGGAGATTTAAAATGTATTTAACAATCTCTTCAATAACCAAATGACGTGAGCCATTCTTTGGTGACCAGGTAACAGCATCTAAAATGGAACCATCTTTGAAACGACGAACCTGTGATTTGGCACCCCAGAATTCACGGAATTTAGCAGAGTTAACATGATCAGCTGGTGGGCCCAAGTCGATAACACTTAACCAATTCTCTGTATTAACTTTAATACCAACAGTAAGAGTACGGTCGACATTCTCTGGCATTTCATCTTTCCAACAGGTATACTCGTCATTATCGTGTTTGAAAATTGTGACTTTAGTAACACGTTTGGTTAATGATTTTCTAAGTAATTGGTATATACGATTTTCTAAATAACTTTCTTTTTGGTAGTAGTCGTTAAGTGGTACCTCGAATTGTGAGAGTTCTTCTTTACCAAGGATGATCTTTAAAACTAAATCATATTCAGTGTAGAAATGGAATTTGGTCATAAAGATCTCTTCAAAACCATTACCAGAATCTAAATTCTCTAAAACCAAACGAGACTCTAAAATCAATTGTCTTAAGCCCCAACTTGAAACACTTGACCAAACATTTAATAAACCTGTATCATCGACTAAAGCAACTGGATAAAGTTTTTCAAATTCTTCAAAATATTGATTTTGTTTAATACTTCCACTGCTGATAGCATCTTGAGATAATTTCATAAAGATTACTGATTTACTTGAAATTTCTTTACTGATAAATACCATTAACATACGAAAAGCTTGATATGAACTCATGGATTTATTGATTCTACCGTTATTATATAAATGAATTAATAGCATTGATAAATGGAATGAGTTGACTGTTGGAATTTTCTTTAAATCTAACCATAATTTAACTAATAACATTGTATCTACTAAAACTGGTGCATTTTCACATTTTTCGTTAATTAATTGCATGTGGTCATTTAATAAAATATCTTCTAAAATTGAATTATTATAAAATGGTGATCTTTTAATTTCATCTATAATTAAAAAAAATAAAAAAATTAGTTAGCGCGTGAAAAATTATAAATATTATTAATTATTAAACTTACCAAATGATCTTTTCTTTTTAGTTTTTGAATCATCTTCAACTTTTTTACTTTCATTATTTTCATAAATTGAATCATTTTCTTTAAAAGTTTGAATTTTGATATTATCTTTTTCTGATTCTAAAAATATACAACTAATATTTGGATTAAACTTGGTATAAATATTAAATAATTCTTTTGGAATGGTTGGAATGATACGAATTTGGAATTTAGTTTTTGAACCAGTTTTTGGATCTTCTTTTGGTTTGATAACAATGATTTGTTTATTTGAATCATCATTAAAGTTCTTGAATGATAAATCTGAAAAACGTGGATGTTTCTTTAATTCATTAGCAACCTTTAATAAATATAAATTTCTTTTTGTAAAATATTTGAAGTCGTTTGCATCTTTACTTGATAATGAAGATAATGGGATTTCAATAGTCATATCTACATTTGGATTGGATTTAATAACTGATCTGCTCATAAAACTACCGACTACATCGATTGAAGATGGTCTGCTATAGTGTACTGATAAACCCTCACCACCATTGAAATCAAATAATTTAACGGCGCTTATATTATCTTCTGTAATGTCTACGTCTTGTTCTGGTATTTTTTCGATGGCTGTTTTGATTTGATGTAAAGCTGATTCCAAAGATGAAAGTTTACTATAATCAATTTTGATCTCTTTGAATAACTCGTTGATTTGAAGTCTGAATAAATTTGAATTAAAAAGAAATTGGGTTTCTTTAAGATTTTGAATTTCGTCACTTGTTGGTGCTGCAGATTGTTGTGAAACTGGTACATTTTTAATTTTAAGATTTACAAATTTTTTTGCTTCAATTTCTGATTTTTCTGGTAATATTGTTGGTCTACCCATTGCTGCTTCGCTATCGTCCAATTTCTCCTCCTCGTCATCGCTATTATTACCATCGATATAATCCAACTCTTCGTCGTCATCCTCGCTTTCGCTATTGTCATTTGATTCGCCATTATAATATTTATCATTATATGAAACTGCACCTTCAATGTCTTGATCGCTGATTTCATCATCATAATCATCCATTCCCAATGCCATAATACTATTATCTTGTTCCTATTTTAAAATTTATTATAATTAGTTTTTTTTTTCTAATATTAATTTTATGGTTGTATAACTATCATTTACAATCTTATTTTTTTTATTTGACTTGGCATCATTACCACCTTTAGTGGTAGTCTTTCTTTTCTCTACCATTGCTGAGGTTTGTGTATATAAATTATTAAGAAAAAAAAATAATTCTTAAAAAAAAATAAAAAAACGAAAAAAAAAAAATAAAAATAAAAATAAAAATGAAAAATTTTAAAAAAAAAATTTTAAAAAAAAAATTTTAAATTTAAAAAACGAAAGATAAAATATTTTTTTTAATTTATATATAAAAATTTTTAAAAAAAAATAAATTATTTTTAATTTATATAAATTATTAACTAAAATATTCATATTTATTTTATATAAATTATATTTGGTATTGCATTAACCCTTAAAACCTTCAGGAAGGGTGCCACCCTTTTTTTTTTTTTTTTTTTTTTTTTTTTTTAAATTGAAAATTTGTTTTTTTAATTTTTAATTTTTTTTTACACTTTATTTAGAAAAAGAAAAGACTACAATAACAATTTAAATATTAATAGTAAAAAATGAAAAAGGAAAGGAACCAAAAAATAAAAGATGGCCGAGCAAATGTACCCACTACATAATAAAACCACCAATTGGTCAAGAGATTTTAAATAGAAAAAACAAAATGTTTAATTATTGATGCTGGTCTTTCGGGTAGTATAGAAAATATGAAAACATTAGTGCTAAATGGATATTTTTTTATTATTTCTATAACATCGAATCGTTGTGTCAATATATTCGATCAAATTGTAAATAGTAACTATTAAATGAAGTGTTAAGAAAAAATTGTTTAACGTGCACATCTATAGAGATACTAGTGTATATGATGTATGTAAATGCCATGGTGTTTGTTTGCATAAAAATTGTAATATAATTTACCACAACTAAAATTTAAATGAGGGTGAATTTTTTTAAATTTTTTTTAAACTTTTTTTTTTGCCGACTTAAATTTTGGAGGTTTTAAGGGTTGATTAAAAAATCAAAGTTTTTTATTTTTATAGATCGAAATTAAAGTGGTGTTCAAAAAAAAAAAATAAGTTTTTTTAATTTTTTTTATTTTTAATTTTTTTTTCAAAAAAAAAAAATTTTATTTTTATATTTTAATCCATTATTCAAAACAAATGCAATCATATACAGAATTGACACAAAATCAAGAAAAAAAAAAGAAAGAAAAAATAGATGATGATTATAAAACAAAAGAATACCAATACTGGACAAATAAAAATGTTTTACAATTCTTAGAAAATTTAAAATTAAATTCAGAAAAAAAAAAACATTATTTTGTTATGTTTCAAAATAAAATGGAGGGAGTCCAACTTCCTTCAATTTTTAATAAAAGAATTAATCTAGGTATACACCAAGAAGACTATGAAGCTTTTGGAGAACTATTTAAAACTTATAATATTCCAATATACCCATCCCAAGATGAAATCAAAAACCATTACCTAAATCTAAGCTCTGACTACGAGTTAAAAGATTCTTTAAAACAAGGTAGCTTTGGTGTAGTTAGCAAACTAGAGCATATAGGTTTTGGCTTTCTCGTAGCAGTTAAACAAATAGAATACCGCGAAGATATGGATAAAACAGTAAGTTTATTATTTATTTTAAAATTTATAAAACTATTAATTTTTATTTCATTTTCTTTTTTAGATAAATGAAGAAATTGCAATTTTAGAAAATCTAAAACATAAAAACATAGTTAAATGTTTTGGACACCATAAAAATAAAAATTATTTTATATTTTTAGAATATCATGAAAAATCGATTGCAGATAGGTATAGGGACGAAAAACCATTTACAGAAACCGAGTGCATAGCTATAGTAAAAAGATTATTAAAGGCTTTAAAGTATCTTCATTCGAAAGGTATAATCCATAGAGATTTAAAAGGAGCAAATATACTATTAAACAATAAAAATAAACCCATAATCATTGATTTTGGTTTATCTTATAAACTCCCAACTCAAGGTTCACAATTTCCCTCCAGGGGAATTGGCACAAAAGGTTGGCAAGCTCCAGAACTTCTCAGATATGAAAGCAAATGTGGAAAACCCGTGGACATTTGGGGTTTAGGTTGTGTAATAATTGAAATGCTAAAAAAGAAAAACCCACATGGAAACCAAGAATCAGATTATAATAAACCTCCACCATACCCGGAAAATATCAAGATGGGGGTTAATTTAAAAAATTTTTTAGACAGGTGCCTACAAATAAATCCATCTGAAAGAGCTACAATAGATGAATTATTAAATCATGCTTGGATTACAAACAAAGATGGGGATTGTAATGATAATAAATACAATATATACACCTATCTATATCAATATAAAGAAATAATTGGGGTTTTGCTCTATTTCCTTATTCTTTATTTTTTTAATTGGGGATATAAATAGATATTTTAAAATATCTATTTTAAATTTTAAATAAAGTTTAAATTAATATTGTTTTTATTTTATTTCAAAAACTAAATTTTATATTTTATTTTTTTTAATTTTTTTTTTATAGCGCCCAAAGAAAATGGGGTCTAAAATTTTGAATACCGGATTTGGAGAATTTAAAAAAAGCAGTGGTTTGGTACGAATCAACAACTGGCTACAACATACCTGAATGGTTAATTAGAAACGTATTGCAATGAAATATTATTGTTCATAAAAAGAAATCCATGAACCTCCATTAAACAAAGTTACAAAAAGAAAAAGATATGATTTCGAATAAGAGATAAAAACTGGACTGTGAATCAACTGGAAAACCATATGTTTATGGATGAATTAAGGTTTCAATAATTTGATAAATACCATGATATAAGATCTTGGGCCTATGACTCTAATGTTTTGGGGAAACATTTTCTATTATGGTCCTGGATATTAAGATAATCTTTCAGAGGGTTTAGATTCTAATCTCTATATTGATATAATAAAAAATGATACACAACCAACTATGGGTTACTATGCAGATGAAGGTTCACCGAAATTGTCATGAAAATTCCTCATCCTATACTTCAAATATGGTTAGGGGTCAAACTTTTGCGAAATGAATATTATAAATAATATGAATATATTTATTTTTATGATCTTACCTTTTTATTTAAAGAAAATATTGTGTGAAAAAAATAACATTTTAAAAGTTTTTTGAATTAACCCTTAAAGTGTTTAGGTTGTTCTCAGGCCAAAAAAATAAAAAAATTTTATAAAAAATTGAAATTTTTTTTTTTTTTTTTTTAAATTTATTTTAAAATTTTATTGTCACAAACAAATATGAATAATACAGTTAACTTTGATAGTTAATGTTACAATTGATTAAAATAAAAAAGAAAGAGGTCCTTGTTATATGTGTAGTACTGGGTATTTAGTTCAAGGTATAAACTATTAAGGAAATTTATATTATCTCAATGTGAATGTCATAAAGTCCTCCATGAATTTTGTAATGTTGCGTTCCATAATCCAAAACTCAAAGTTGTTCAAGCTTAATTATAAATCAAAAAATATAAATAATAAATCAATTAACTATAAAATTTTAAATAAACTTTAAAATAAATATATTTTTATAATATATTTATTTATTTTAACTCAAAATCACATTATTTTTTATTATCACGAAAAAACTCTTTGGCAACAAAATTTTGCTTTTTTTTTTGAAAATTTTTTTTTTTTAAAAATTTTTTCTTTAAGGGTTAAGTTTTGTTTTTTAAAATTAAAAATCATTTTTAGATTTGCAAACATTTTTAAGTTTTCAAAAAAAAAAAAAAATTTTATAATTTTTTTTATTTTTAATTTTTTTTAATTTTTTTATTTTTATCCATTATTCAAAACAAACGCAATCATATATGGCTAAAGAATTGATACACAAATATATAGATTTGACAGAAAATCAAAAAGAAAAAAAGAATAAAAGAATAAAACTTCATTATAATGAAAAAGAATACCAACTCTGGACAGATAAAGATGTTTTAGAATTCTTAGAAAATTTAAACCCAGAAAAAAAAGAACATTATGTTGTTAAGTTTAAAGAAAATAAAATGGAGGGATTCCATCTTCCTTTAATTTTTAATGAAAGAATTAATCTAGGTATACACCAAAACGACTATAAAGATTTTGGAGAGCTATTTAAAACTTATAATATTCCAATATACCCATGCAAAGATGAAATCACAGACTATTACAAATTTAAAAACATTGTCTATGAGTTTAAAAAATACCCTATAAAACAAGGTGGCTTTGGTGTTGTTAGCAAACTAATACGTAAAGATTTTGGATTTCCCGTAGCAGTTAAAAAAATAAAACACCCCGGCCAAAATCCAAAAATGAATATAAAAGTAAATTTATTATTTATTTTAAAATTTATAAAACCATTAATTTTTATTTTATTTATTTCTTTTTCTTTTTTAGATAAATAAAGAAATTTTAATTTTAGAAAATCTAAAACATAAAAACATAGTTAAATGTTTTGGACACTATGAAAATGATAGATATTATTATATATTTTTAGAATATCATGAAAAATCGATTGCAGATTGGTATAAAGAAAAATCATTAACAGAAGACCAGTGCATCCCTATAGTAAAAAAATTATTAAAGGCTTTAAAGTATCTTCATTTGAAAAAAATAATCCATAGAGATTTAAAAGGAGCAAATATACTATTAAACAATAAAAATAAACCCATAATCATTGATTTTGGTTTATCTCATAAATATTCAAAAGTTCAAAATTCAAAATTTCCCTCCAGGGGAATTGGCACTGAAGGTTGGCAAGCTCCAGAACTTTTAAAAGTTGAAAGCGAATGTAGAAGTGCCGTGGATATTTGGGGTGTAGGATGTGTAATAATTGAAATGCTAAAAGGGGGAAACCCACATGGAGACCAAGAATCAGATTATAGTAAACCTCCACCATACCCGGAAAATATCAGTGTTAATTTAAAAAAGTTTCTAGACAGGTGCCTACGAATAAATCCATCTGAAAGAGCTACAATAGGTGAATTATTAAATCATGCTTGGATTACAAACAAAGATGGGGATTGTAATGATAATAAATACAATATATACACCTATCTATATCAATATAAAGAAATAATTGGGTTTTTGCTCTATTTCCTTATTCTTTGTTTTTTTAATGCTAATTGGGGATATAAATAGATATTTTTAAATATTTATTTTAAATTTTAAATAAAGTTTAAATTAATATTGTTTATTTTATTTCAAAAACTAAACGATTATTCCTTTTTTAAATAAAATTTTAAATTTTATTTTTTTAAATTTTTTTTTTATAGCGCCCAAAGAAAATGGGGTCTAAATTTTTGGGTGGTGAAGTTGGAGAATTTAAAAAAAGCAATGGTTTTGATACACAACCAACTCTGGGTTACAATGCAGATGAGTTATTGGTGACTGAGAAGGTTCACGGAAATTGCCATGAAAACTCCTCATCTTATACTTCAAATATGGTTAGGGAGTAATACAGAAAATTCAATATTTCAATTGATGAAAAACAACCTTAAAGCCCCGATTTTAATATAATATTTAATCAATGTTCATAAAATAAAGAAATGTTATCAACTCGAATGTTTAGTAAATCGAATTAGAACCCGATCCAATGCCGCATTGACGATTTTCATTACATCAATTCTGAGTTTATAAATAATTTTTATAAATCTCTTCCACAGAATGGATGCGATAATTAAAGCTCATGGAGAACATACAGGATATTAAGTCAAATCATTTGTTATAATCAAAAAAGTAAAAAAGTAAAAATTCAAGATTTTATTTTTTTCTTAAATAAGATTTTTAAGTTTGTTGAAAAAAAAATATAAAAGTTTTTAAATCAGATTTTTTTTTAAACTTAAAAAATTTTTAATTTTTTTCAAAAAAAAATTTTAATTTTTTTATTTTTATTTTAAAAAAAAATAATAAAAAAATTTTATTATTATCCATTATTCAAAACAAATGCAAACATATATAGAATTGACACCAAAACAAATAATAAAAAAAAATACAAAAATAGAATATGACTATACTAAGAAAGAATTCCAATACTGGACAATTAAAGATGTTTCAAAATTCTTAAAAAAATTCGGACAAGAAACAGTTAGTAAGTTTCAAGAAAATAAAATGGAGGGATTCCATCTTCCTTCAATTTTTAATGAAAGAATTAAACTAGGGATAAAACAAAAAGACTATGAAGCTTTTGGAGAACTATTTAAAGCTTATAATATTCCAATATACCCATGCCAAGATGAAATCATAAAATATTACAATAAAGAAAACTCTGACTTTGTGTTAAATGATTCTATAAAAAATGGTGGCTTTGGTACAGTTAGCAAACTAACACATAAAGGTTTTGGCTTTCCAGTAGCAGTTAAACAAATAGCTTACTCCAGCCAAGATTTAGATATGGGAATAACGGTAAATTTATTATTTATTTTAAAATTTATAAAACTATTAATTTTTATTTTATTTTTATTTCATTTTCTTATTTAGATTAGAGATGAAATTTTAACTTTAAAACAATTAAATCATAAAAACATAGTTAAATGTTTTGGACACTATGAAGATAATAAAAATTTTTTTATATTTTTAGAATATCATGAAAAATCGATTAAAGATAGGTATGAAGAAAAATCATTTACAGAAACCGAGTGCATGCCTATAGTAAAAAAATTATTAAAGGCTTTAAAGTATCTTCATTCGGGTAATAAAATCGATAATATAATCCATAGAGATTTAAAAGGAGCAAATATACTATTAAACAATAAAAATAAACCCATACTCATTGATTTTGGTTTATCTCATAAATATTCAAAAGTTCAAAATTCAAAATTTCTCTCCAGGGACGTTGGCACTGAAGGTTGGCAAGCTCCAGAACTTTTAAAAGTTGAAAGCGAATGTGGAAGTGCCGTGGATATTTGGGGTGTAGGTTGTGTAATAATTGAAATGCTAAAAAGGGGAAGCCCACATGGAAACCAAAAAGCAGATTATAATAAACCTCCACCATACCCGGAAAATATCAGTGTTAATTTAAAAAAATTTCTGGACAGGTGCCTACAAATAATTCCATCTGAAAGAGCTACAATAGATGAATTATTAAATCATACTTGGATTACAAACAAAGATGAAGATTGTAATGATAATATATACAAAAATAAAGATTGTAATGATATACACAAAGGTGAAGATTGTAATGATAAAATACACAAAGATGAAGATTATAATAATATATACACCTATCCAAAACAAAGTAAAGAAATATTTGGGGTTTTGCTCTATTTCCTTATTCTTTATTTTTTTATATGAATTAGGGATATAAATAGATATTTTTAAATATCTATTTTAAAATTTAAATAAAGTTTAAATTAATAATTTTTTTATTTTATTTCAAAAACTAAACGATTATTCCTTTTTTAAAAAAAATTTTTTATTTTTTTTTTATTTTTTTTTTAAAATTTTGGTTTTTATTTTTTTATTTTAACAAAAACTCAACAAATAATCATTTTCATGGTTTTAATAATTTTAATAATTTTATAAAATGTTAAAAATAATAAAACTAAATAAAATCAATCAAAGCTATAGAATATATAATAATACATACAGAACTTTATGTACAACTAATAATAACAATAGCAATAATAATGGTGTTTATGATATAGTTATTGTTGGTGGTGGGTTGGTAGGCTCAGCCATGGCATGTTCATTAGGTAACAATAACAACACAAAGCATTTAAAAGTTGCATTAATTGAATCATCACCAATTCAAACAGTCAACGAAACAACATCAAATAAAATACCAGATATTAGAACCATTTCATTTAATCATCAAACTATTGATCTATTTAAATCTATTGGAGTTTGGGATACCATTGAATCTACAAAAAGAGTTAATCCATTTAATCAAGTTAGAGTATGGGATACAAGTGGTTTTGAGGGTATTCATTTCAAAGATAACAATGATATAATGGGATACATTATCGAAAATAAAGTTGCAGTATCATCACTCTTAGAAAAAGCAAACTCTTTTGAAAATGTCGATATCATCTCACCACTTACTGTCAAATCATTAGAAAACTATAATCCAAATACATCAACCACAACAAATATATTACCCTGTTTAAAACTATCGAATGACAAAGATCTTCATGCTAAATTAATTATTGGTGCTGATGGTGGCAATTCTATCATTAAAAAACAATTAAAATTAAACTCTGTTGGCAGAAACTATAATCAAAGAGCTGTAGTTTGTACAATTAAATTGGGTAAATCTGATCACAATGATACATTATTTCAGAGATTTTTAACAACTGGTCCAATTGCCTTATTACCAGTAAGTAATAAATAACTTTTCAGTAATAGTAATAATAACAACAATAAAGTATATTTGTATATTAATTTATTAATTCATTTATTTAATAGTTAGCAGATGGCTATGCAAATATCATTTGGTCAACCAATAACTTACATGCAAATTATTTATTAGAATTGGATGATAATAGCTTTTTGGAACAATTAAAAAATTCATTTTTATCATCAGTACCAACCAATAACAATAGTGTATTTGATGCATTATCAAGTGTATTTAACCTTAATCCCTCAGGACTAAGTGGTAATGAAATTTATGTACCACCTATCGAATCAATAGTATCAAAAAGAGCTTCATTCCCACTTCGTATCGATCATACATTCCAATATACAATGCCAAGAATTTGCTTTATAGGTGATGCATCCCATATCGTACATCCAATGGCCGGTCAAGGTGTTAACTTGGGTATGGCCGATGTCAAAGCTCTAACTCAAATGATTGAACAATCAGTTCAATCTGGTTACGATATCGGTGATGCAATGATGTTAAAAAGATTCGAAGAAGAAAGAAAACCTGAAAATGTAAAAATGATGCTCTCTATCGATACCCTATTCAACATTTTCACCAATAACTCTATTGCAGTTACCGCTTTAAGAAATTTCGGTATGTCTTTCTTAAACCATGTTCCAATTTTAAAGAATCTAATTGTAGGTGTTTCAAAAGGAAATTCAATTTTGAATAATATTAAATAAAAAAATAAAATAATTATTTAAATTTAAATATAAATATAAAACAATAAAATAAAATAAGATGGTATTTTTGCTATATTTTTTTTATTTTTTTTTGTTTTTTTAGCTTTCAGTTTTTTTCCTCCTAGCCCTTTTTTTTTATTTTTAAAAAAAAAAAAAATTTTATTTCAAATAAATAAATTTAGATGCGGGCAATTGGAGCTTTGACCCTGGTCATGTCAAGAATTTTATTTAAATTTAAATTTTTGATTACAGAAACAAAAAGGGTTTTAATTTTTTTTTCTTTTTTTTTTTTTTTTTTATTTTTTTTATTTTAGTTTTTTTTTTAATCTTTTTTTACAAATCTTTTATGGTAATTGATTATTATAATTTCTAATATTTTAAAATAATAAAAAAATTGTAAAATTAATTTCGTATTTAGATTTCGAACCAAAAAGTAAAAAATAAAAAAATAAAAAATAAAAAATAAAATAATATTATATAACAATAAAAACGATGGGCGGAATAATAGATAATAATAATAGTAATGATTTTTCTGATGATGATGAAGAAGAAAATACTAAAACATCATTAAAAAAAGGATACTATCAAATTATAAAAGGTATTGTATAGAAATATAAAAAAAATACGATAGTTATATATTTTCTATCTGCAAAAAAAAAAAAAGAAATTTTAAATTTATGTGTGTTTATTTCATTGTGTGTAGTGGGGGTAAATGTGGTGTTGTGGGTTGTTTTATTCTATAGATAGTATTATGTGGTAATGCTAAATTTGGTATTTAGTTTTGGTATGGTTTAAAAGGGCCAAAAATTTATTTTTTTTTTTTTTTTAACCCCAAACCAATCCCCCAAAAAGTTAAATAAAAATTTTTTTCGGGTTTTTAAAAAAAAAAAAATTTTAAAACAAAAAATTCCAAAAAAAATAAAAAATAAAAATTTGGGCCAACCTATCCATTTAAAAAACCAAATAAATAAAAGGAAACCACTCCTTTAATTTATTTTTGGTTACCTTAAGGTTATAATTTCCGGGAAATTTCCTTTTTTTTTTTTTTTTTTTTTTTTTTTTTTTTTTTTTTCCCTATCACCTTCTTTTAAAGAAACCAACCAAATAAAAACACATTATAATACATGTTTAGTAATATTTAATAGATAAATATCATTTTTTTTAAAAAAGATATATTATTTTTTTAATAATAATGATATTTAATATTTTTTATAATTACTTTTATAAAAAAAAATTTTAAATTAAATAATTATCAATTTTAAAAATAAATTCTTTTAATAATATTAAAAATAATAATAATAGTAGAAATTAATTTTTAATAAATCTCAAAATATATTAAGAAAATAATTTTTGAATAAAACCATTAATAAATTTCTATGGTAACACCAATAAACTCACCACAAAACAAAACCTCAATTATTAATACTAGTGAAAAAGGCACTATAATCATCAACTCTTCCCCAAGTTCGTCAAATGGCGAAAACGAAAATAGTAAATTTACTGTTTTTTTTTTTTTTTTTTTTTTTGTGACTGTCAATACATATTTTTCATTTCATTTTTTCTTAATTTTTACAATTATTAACCCTATATTTTATATTTAAATTAATAAAGGAGATAAAAATATAACGAGTGATGAAATCAAGCCAATTAATATAAGAAAAGATGAATATAGTTCAGTCACTCCTGGGGGAGATGGAGGGTCTACAGGAAG